CCACATAAGCAAAAAGAAAAAAGCCAGAAGTGGTGCTGTGGCCAAGTGGTAGAGTGCTAGCCTTGAGCTGAAGAGCTGAGGGACAGCGCCCAGGCCCAGAGTTCAGGCCCCACGACTGGACCAAAAAAATAAAAATTAAAAATAAAAATAGAAAGTAACTTCCTTTCTCACACTCACTTGAAAGTGCTTCCAACTTCCTCTCCTCCTTTCTCCTTAAATTACTTCAACATTCTAACTATTTTAACAATTACCAGTACATCAAAAATACATTAATTATACTTTAGCTCTGGGCATCATTTAATGTACTTTATCCTTTCTTCTCTTTGAAATATTTCCTTCCTTGATTTACAGGAAACCAGCTCTCCTGCTAATTCTTTGACAGGTCCTGATCTGATTCTTCCCTCTTTTTTTTTTTTTTTTTTGGGTCTGGTCATGGGGCCTGAACTCTGGGCCTGGGCGCTGTCCCTTAGCTCTTCTACCACTTGCGCCACAGTGCCACTTCCAGCTTTTTGCTTATGTGGTGCTGAGGAATCGAACCCAGGGCCTCATGCATGCAAGGCAAGCGCTCTACCACTGAGCCACCTTCCCAGCCCTCTCTTCTCTCTTAGCAAGGAACATTTAATGACTATGCATGTTCTCATTGAATCTGATGCCTCGAATATGCAACTGAATCCCAAATTTATGAGTAATCTAGACTTACCACTCAACCTACTCACTGTCTCTATTTGGATATTTAATGGCAAATTTAAACCTAAGAAGTACAAAACTCCATTGTTCTGTCCGAATTGTAATTATTCTTGGTTCATTTCTCTCATATCACATCTCATCTTCAAATACTGTAGATCTAAAAGTTGACTTCTTTATTCTGCAGCTCTTACTCTTATTCTAGTCACTACTATCTCCCATACACATTACCAAAATAATTTGTGTTCCTTTAGTAGCCAGATAGATCCTAAATCAGACTGAAGCATGGTATCATACACTTGTAATCCTAGCACTTAGAAAGCTGAGGCATAAGAATTCCAAGTGCAAGGACAGCCTGGGATAGGTATTTTTGTTTCTGCCAGAACTGGGGCTTGAACTCATGACCTGGGTGCTGTCCCTGAGCCTCTTTGTGTTCAAGACTAGCACTCTACCACTTGAGCCACAATACTATGTCTAGCTTTTTCTAAGTAGTTTATTGGAGGTAAGAGTCTCACGATATTTTCTGACTGGTCTGGTTTCAAGCTGTGATCCTCCAATCTCAGCCTCCTGAATAGCAAGGATTATAAGCATGAGCCACTAATGTCAGCTACAAGTGAATTGGAGGCCACCTTAGACTATGTAGACTGTGCCTAAAAACAAACAAATGAAAGCCTCATAAGTCTGATATTGGCTTATTTGGGCCAAAAACTATTAATAACTTCACATCTTATTTGGAATAAAAGTCAAAGTTCTTTTAGTGGCCTACAATGCTCTACAAAATGGCCTTCTCCTCCTTCCCTTCTTTTTTGGTCACTAGTCGTTGCTTCCAGATACAGTAGGCATCTACACTTGTGAGCGTTCCTGCTGATATTCCTTCTATCAGTATTGCTCCTCCACACAATCCCAGGATCATTTTTCATCAGATCATAAATATTTCAATGGTTACTCTACCTAAAACTTCAATCCCCTTCATATTCGCCACTATTTCTCCCTACTTTGTTTCCTTTAGTAATTTCATGAATATGTTTTTTTATTTGATCATTGTATTATTTCCCTCACTGGAATGTAAACTTCAGGAAAACAGGGTTTCTTTTTGGTTGCTCTTTGTTATATTCACAGAACCTTATAACTGTGCTTGGCTCTTTAGTAGACACAATACTTGGTTAATAAAGTGTTTCAGTCGTACCTTCCATAGCCTTTCTGTCACAAAATTGGAAATTTTCTGTCACAAAAAAATTGGAAGTGTAATGCTCCATTAATATTCTCTCAAGATTTAGGAAAAGGAGACTGAAATGGGCTGCTGATAATCACAACTCAGTGTCTCCTTAGGTGAGGATGCCAGGCAAAGTATAAGAAAACCATGTACTGTAATTTTTTTTTTTTAAAAAAGATTGAATCCTAAACTTCCAAAAGGAGAAAACAGGCTGGGAAGGTAGCTCAGTGGTAGAGTGCTTGCCTTACATGCATGAGGCCCTGGGTTCGATTCCTCAGTACCACATTAGCAGAAAAAACCTGAAGTGGAGCTATGGTTCAGGTGGTAGAGGGCTAGCCTTGAGCTGAAGAGCTGAGGGACAGTGCCCAGGCCTCAACAAAAAAAGGGGGTGGGAACAAAGCAGGATATAGCAGTGGCATTAGTGATAAGGCAAAAACCTGGGTACATATGCATTTATTGGACTTTTTGTTATTGGTGGTGGTTGTAGGCCTTTGAACTCAGGGTCTGGGTATTGTCCCTCACTTTTTTGCTCAAGGCTAGCACGCTATTACTTTGAGACACAGCTCTACTTCTGCCCTTCTGGTGGTTAACTGGAGATAAGAGTGTCAAGGGGACTTCTCTGCCCGGGCTGGCTTCGAATCGTGGTCCTCAGATCTTGCTCCCTGAGCAGCAAGGATTATAGTTGTGAGCCACTGGCACCCAGTGTGTATTGGGTCTTTTTTTTCTCTTTTATATCTAATAGGACCCACACATCTGACACACCAACTGAACAGTTCAACTATATTAAAAACTGTGAGTCCAGCTTAGGGAAAAGACAAGACCAGCAGCTTAGAGCGATACAATATGGCAGCCATTTCCTGAGGGCTCTAAGAGGTAAGCTCCATATGACAGAACAGCGACTACAAGAGAAGAAACCATGTAAAAGGCCAGCACCAACTTTCACAACAGTTAACACACTCAAATTCCACTCAAACATGGAAAAGGGCTGTCAAATATTCCTGTAACACATCCCATGCCAATCTGCAAACTCAGTGGATCTGAATGGCAAAAAACCGGCTGGTCATTGATATAATTCACCTCTTCCCAAGGACACCTGCCTGAGTGGTCCAGACCAGCGGAGAATTCCAGCTGTGGCAGAAGGTCAGATACATGTCTGCTAATTGGGTGGAAACAACAAATCAGGACCATTTCTCTTCTCTTTGAAGAGCACCATAAGAGACTTATAAACTTTTACATTGCCCTGTGGCACTGCCAGGACACACAGTATAGCCTGAACAAGGCAAAGAGGAAATCTCAAGAGAGACACAGGCTTCCTCTCCCAGTAGATGGTAATATATGTGTTCAAAACAGATCCCAAAGTGGGATGTAAGAGTAGAAGTATGGACCATTTTGAAGAACTAACAACGAAGGATGGAAAACTGACTGGGAGCTTTTGTTTCTGTCATTGTTTTGATTTTTGTTTGGTTGGTTACTTGATTTTTTGGTTTCTTTTCCTTCCCTTTTTTTTCTCATTGTTCTCACTAGTAGCTAGCCTCACCTCATCCTTCTTACCCTATAAGTCTTCTTTTTCACAGATATCCAACTCATAATATCAACACTCCTCTTCATGAATGAATTATATGCCACACTAAGGATATAAGGTATCTGCCTCATCATATCCCATTCCCCAGTGAGAATATAGAAAATAACCCACCACGAAGACACTTGTCTGAAGACAACTGAAGGCCCAAACAACGAAGAGTCTTCAAATGAGTAAAACCCAAGAAAAATCCAAGTAAAACAACAAGAAATAAGAAAGGAAATACAACACCTCCAGAAAACAACTATACAAAAAAGGCCAGAAAAACAAGAAAATAGAGGAAACCCTGTGTAATGAGCTCCAAAGACTGTTAAGAATTTTCAGTGAAGTAGAAGAGGACCTCCTCAAGCAGCCACACAAACTGAAATAGTAAACAAAGAAAGAAAGGTATTTAATGAGAACACAGATGAAAATTAAAATGAATTAAATACAAGAGTTAAATGAGCTCAGAGAGAATACAGATAAATACCAAGAGATCACGAAGTCACAAATAAACTAATGAAGTCAATACAAGAAAAATAAAGATGATCTCAATAAAAAGAAATCCTGAGCCTGGCGCTGGTGGCTCACGCCTGTAATCCTAGCTACTCAGCAGGCTGAGATCTGAGGATCAAGGTTTAAAGCCAGCCCAGGCAGGAAAGTCCGTTAGACTCTTATCTCAAACAAACCACTAGAAAACCGGAAGTGGTGTGTGGCTCAAGTGGTAGAGCGTTTGCCTTGAGCTGAAGAGCACAGGGACAGTGCCCAAGCCCTGAGTTCAAGCCCCACAACCGACCAAAAAACAATAACAAAAAAAGAAATCCTGAAAAACAATTGAACTGAAAGACAAGAGATGAAAAGTAAAGTGAAAATCCTCTCCAGCAGAGATGAGACAGCAGACAGAATTTCTGGACTTTTAAAGACAGAAGAAAATACAGGGGGAAAAAAGAAAGAAAGAAAATATTAAAGCAGTTTGTAAGGACTTAAGGACTCAATTAAAAGACTTTATATGAAGACTCATAAAACTTGTGACTTATGAGTACTGAGGAAGCATAAGAAACATATTCAACAGAGTAGTATCAGAAAACTTCTAAAATCTTGAAAAAGAAAAGTGCTGATAGGTAGAGATTTTAGAACACCAGAAAAGGCAGATCACATACAAATTTCAGGAGAAAAAAAGATTTTTAAAACTTAAGATTATGATTAGCTATTCAATATCCTTATAGGATCAATGAGACATTTCTTCACATCCAATGTATTTTAATAGTAAAGTAAGAATGGATCTCAATAATGCATGTCTAGCATTCAAGGGTTAAATGTAAAGATTTGAAAACTCAGTATTAAATACAAGCAAAAGTAACAAAATACAATCATATAATCTGAATATAACAAATTTTCAGATAATATAGTTATTTCATTTAGACAAAATACTAAGAAACAAATTATTTTAGTCACAATTTCAAGTATATTTTAGCTCTGTAAAAGAATTAAACATGAACTATAAATTTGATATTAAGCTACATTATTACATTGATTTTTCTGATATTAACCAAATAACTTTTCTGCTTCCTTTTGTTTTCTCTTCCTATCCATTTTATTAATTACAGCCCAACGGTTCTCTTGAACTTTTCTCAGACTTCCATACTTCACAGATCCAGGAGTTGTTAGAGATGAGGGAGTCTAAATACAAAGTAAAATAGTTATTTTTTTTTAATGGCTTTTAAAATTTGCTTTCTGAAATAAAACTTAAAAGATACCTGTTTTGGTGTTCTAACACAAAGATGAGAAGCAGATGGATTGTTATCATTATATAGTTTGTTAAATGTCTCTTCTTCTGAAACCATGCTCTTGAAGAAAAATAGAAATATTATTAGCACTGCCATCATTAACACTGTATTACTGAAACTTTATCAACATACTACATATGAGAAACAAGAATAGAACAAGGAAGGAGGAAACAGGAGGGGATGAGGAGAAAGAAAAAAATGAAAGAAGACAAGAATGAAATCAAAGCCAGGTACTGGTGGCTCATGCCTGTAATCTTAATTACTCAGGAGGCTGAGATCTTAGGACTGCAGTTCAAAACCAGACCGGGCAGAAAGTCCATGAAACTTTCATCTCCAATTAACCACCAGAAAACCAGAAGTGGCACTGTGGCTCAAGTGGTACAATACTCACTGCCTTGAGCTGAAGAGCTCAGGGACAGTGCCCAGAGTCAGAGTTCAAGCCCCAGGACTGACCAAAAACAAGAAAGAAAGAAAGAAAGAAAGAAAGAAAGAAAGAAAGAAAGAAAGAGAAGAAAGAAAGAAAGAAAGAAAAGAAAGAAAGAAAGAAAGAAAGGAAGGAAGGAAGGAAGGAAGGAAGGAAGGAAGGAAGGAAGGAAGGAAGGAAGGGAAAGAAAGAAAGAAAGAAAGAAAGAAAGAAAGAAGAAAGAAAGAAAGAGAAAGAAAGAAAAGAAAGAAAGAAAGAAAGAAAGAAGGAAAGAAAGAAAGAAAGAAGAAAGAAAGAAAAGAAAGAAAGGAAGGAAGGAAGGGGGGAGGGAGGGAGGAAGGAAGGAAGGAAGGAAGGAAGGAAGGAAGGAAGGAAGGAAGGAAGGAAGGAAGGAAGGAAGGAAGGAAGGAAGGAAGGAGAAATAGAAATCAACTCAATTTGCAAAAAAAAAAAAAAAAAAAAAAACCAGATTTTTTTTTTTTCCTGTGCCAGTTCTGGGCCTTGAATTGAGGGCAAGAGCCTTGTTCCTGAGCTTTTGTTCTCAAGGCTAGAACTCTACCACTTAAGCCACAGCTCTACTTCTGGTTTATGGGTGGCTAATAGGAGATAACCAATTAACCTGCCTGGGCTGGCTTCAAACCTTAATCCTCAGATCTCAGCCTCCTGAGTAACTAGGATTAAAGGTGTGAGCCCAGCTGGCATAAAACATTTTACTCATTCCTTTTACTTTCAATCAATTTGTGTCTTTAGATCTAAAATGAGTGTCTTAATCACTATACTGTTTCTAGTTTCTAATTTATCTCTGCCCAATATCCATTTTTTCCCTTCTTCTAGGCGTGGCTCAGTTTTCTCTTCACTTATAGTTGCATAAAGTTTCTTCAGTGTTGGGGACTGAACCAGGGTCTTGCACATACTAAGTAAGCACTCTATCACTTGGGCTAAACTCCAACCTAATGTTTTGACTGCTCATTTAAGGTATTTTTCAAATTAAAACATTTATAATTACAAATTTCCTCTGTGCACTGGCTTTATTGTATCCCATACATTTTGGTATATTGTTTTTCTTTTCTTTCATCTCTAAATATTTTTAAAATTCACTTTATTGTTATTGTAAAAGTGCTGTTCTGAGGGATTACAATTACATGAGTCAGGAAATGAATACATCTCCTTTCGTAAAGTCTTCATCCCCTTTCCACCCACTTTCAATAGTGTTCAGTGAGCTCCACTGTTGAGATTTTTAACCATTTTTTCCCTCGAGTTCTGTACCCTTGCCTCCCACCCCTGATATACATGTGAATATACCATACATAAAGAAGGTAGAATCATCAAAAGATAAAATATTTTTAAAAGAGATCTGTTTTCCTATCTTGAAGTTCATTTTAAGATATATAAGTACATGTGTATGTATATGATTTTATAGAGAGGAACATAGGGGTTGTGCCTTTGTGCTTGTCTCCTAAAAGTGTCTTCTTTTGGACACACTCTGTGTGTCCAAAATACCGTATAATTTATCATATCCCAGTGTGTTCTATATTTAATTTCCACATATCAGAGAGAAGATCTCTAAATCTTTCATCCGTTGAAAGTGTACTGATTTCCATAAATTTTACATTCTAGTTATCATTTTCATACTGATTCTATCTCATTGTGGTTGCACAAAATGCTTTATATGACGTGCATTTTTTTGGGGGGGTGGGGTCAGTCGTGGAGCTAGAACTCTGGGCTTGGGCACTGTCCCTCAGCTCTTCAGCTCAAGGCTACTGCTCTACCACTTGAGCCACAGCGCCACTTCCCGTTTTCTGGTGGTTTATTGGAGATAAGAGTCTCAAGGATTTTCCTACCCAGGCTGGCTTTGAACTGCGATCCTCAGATCTCAACCTCCTGAGTAGCTAGGATCATAGGTGTGAGCCACTGGCACCTGGCTGACGGTGTATTTAAAAAGATGCTCAAGATCTGTAATGTGGAGTAGCATACAGTCTGGAGAATATCCAATGCACATAAGAAAATGTACTCACTGTATTATTGTTTGATAGTGTTCTGTTTGCTAGTGTTGTGTCCCTCAAGTCCTCTCTTACTTTGCTTATGTTTATTTTTCTGGTGATTCTATCCATTACTACAAGTGGTGTAAGTATATTAAAAAAATACTCCAGGATTAGGAATGTGGCTTAGTGGTAGAGTGCTTGCCTAGCATGCAAGAAGCCCTGGGTTCAATGCCTCAGTACCACATAAACAGAAAAGGCCAGAAGTAACGCTGTGGCTCAAGTGGTAGAGTACTAGCCTTGAGCAAAAGAAGCTCAGGGACAATTCCCAGGCCCTGATTTTAAGCCCCAGGGCTGGCAAAAATAAATAAAAATAAAAAATACTACAAAATTGTGTATTTTTTCAATTCTATGAAGTTTTGCCTTGTATATTTTAAAAGCCTGTAAGTTAATGTTTTAAAATGACTTATTTCCTTGCTGTACCAAATCTTTCATTAATATACACTTTTTGTCTATTATACTTTTTGATTTAAAGTCTATTTTATCTGATAATGATATAGCCACACCAGATCTTTTTTGTTACTACATGAAACTTTTTCCATCCTTTCACTTTCAACAAATTGTGTCTTGAGATCAAAAGCAAATGTTAAATACATGTTTTTAAAATTGAATCTGTTGATCTCTGAATTTTGTTTGACTAGTATAACCCTAATTTTTCAAAAATGCCACAAAAGTATAAGGGTTCTGTGTTATAATAAAGGTTTGCTGTATATGTCACTATTGGTGTATACCTTGTACATACACTAAATATACATTAAAAAAATAATGCAAGCCAAATGCTGGTAGCCTAGCTACTCAGGAGGCTGAGATCTGAGGATCATGGTTTGAAGCCAGCCAGGTATAAAAGCCAATGAGATTCTTACCTCCAATTAACTACCAAAAGGTTGCAAGTAAAGCTGTGGCTCAAGTGGCAGAGCACTATCCTTGACAGAAAAAGTAAAAGGACAGCCCACTAGTCCTGAGATCAAGCCCTAGTACCAGCACAGAAAAAAAAAAAAAAAGAATTCAAATAATGAATCAGAAAAGAAGTACTAATTATAATTGTTTTACCAAGAGATCAGTATTTTCTGAACTGTCTGAATGAGTATCAAAGTCAAAGACTGTTCTTCTCTTTTTATTTTTTTCTTCAATGTGTATATTCTTATCTTGTCTTGGATGCTTTTTTATTTTGGTTGGGGTCCTCACTGTATAGACCTATGCAAAAGCAAAAAGGAATACATTATCATATTAACAAAAAGATATATATATATATATATATATATATATATATAAAAGAATGTAATAAATCACCAGGTGCTGGTGGCTCATGACTATAATCCTAGATACTCAGGAGGCTGAGCTCTAAGAATTGTGGTTCAAAGCCAGCCAGAGCAGGAAAGTCCCCTTGAGACTTTTATCTCCAATTAACCATTCAAAAACTGGAAGTGGCACTGTGGCTTAAAGCAGTAGAGTGCTAGACCTTGAGCATAAAGAAGCTCAGGGATAACGTGCAGGCCCTGAGTTCAAGCCCCCTATTAATAAATCATTTCAAGGCAATTTGAGTTTTGAGCAATAAGAAATCTCCATTTCTAGCAAATAATGAAGCAGAAATTTTAACAGAAATTAATTCAGATGTTTTTGATACTAAAAATACTCTTTCTTCCAAAAAATAAAAGGGGCCAGAGGTTCACATCTGTAAACCTATTTATGAGATGTGAGGTTCATAGTTCACAGTCTGAGAAAAATTCCAACAAGATCCTATCTCTAATTAAGTAGCATAGCACTGGTCTGGGAAGTATAGCTCAAGCAGTAGAGACTCAGCTATGAGCAAAAAAGCTAAGCAAAAGCTCGAGTCTCTGAGTAAAGCCCTGGTACTAACACATAATACGCACACAAATTCACTTTCTTTGTTCTTTCCTGAGTTATGCCAAAAAAGACAGAAAAAGTAGTATACAAAGAGACAAAATAAAGCTGGGTGCTGGTGGCACGTGGCTGTGTAATCCTAGCTACTCAGGAGGCTGAGATACAAGGATCATAAGAAAAGTCCATGATGGGGCTGGGAAGGTAGCTCGGCGGTAGAGTGCATGCCTTGCAAGCATGAGGCACTGGGTTCGATTCCTCAGCACCACATAAACAGAAAAAGCCGGAAGTGGCACTGTGGCTCCAGTGGTAGAGCGCTAGCCTTGAGCTGACAGCACCCAGACCCAGAGTACTTAGGAGGCTGAGATCTGAGGATCCTGGTTCAAAGCCAGCCCGGGTAGGAGAGACCGTGAGACTCCTATCTCCAATAAACCACCAGAAAACCGGAAGTGGCGCTGTAGCTCAAGTGGTAGAGCGCTCACCTTGAGCTGAAGAGCTGAGGGACAGCGCCCAGGCCCAGAGTTCAAGCCCCGCAACCGACAAAACAAAACAAAACAACCATGATCCTTTATAGCTAGAATGACAGGCCTGAGCCATTGGCACCTAAGTATATGTCTTTTTTTCTTTATTTTTTTATTTTATTTATTTATTTATTTTTTTTTTTTGGGGTTCGGTCGTGGGGCCTGAACTCTGGGCCTGAGCACTGTCCCTCAGCTCTTCAGCTCAAGGCTAGCACGCTACCACTTGCGCCATAGCACCACTTCTGGCTTTTTTTTTTTTCCTGCTTATGTGGTGCTGAGGAATCAAACCCAGGGCCTCAGGCATGCAAGGCAAGTGCTCTACCACTGAGCTACCTTCCCAGCCCCTTTTCTTTATTTTTTTAACTGGATTTTTAATCTTTCCCTACTCCTTTTTCTCATTCTTTTTCTTTGTTCCTCCTTTCCTTTTTTCTTAATTTTGCTCATATTTCTTTTTCCCTTTCCCTTCTTCCTCTTCATATCATTCTTTTATTATTAGCTACCTTATGAATATTTAACTTCACAGTTCAGTCTACATTACTTTTACCACTTTTCTGTGCTTATTGATTGTGTATTAGCTGTCTTTAATTGGTTTTTCTTACATTTATCTGGTTTCTTTTAGCATTTCTGCTATTATGGCAGATGGATGATATAATGATATTAATTCAGGACTTGGATGAAGAATTAAAGAGATAGAGACTGTAAACAACAAATTTCAAAAGCAAATCAAGTGAAAACTGAATAGCATCAATAGTAGACTATACCAAGCAGAAGAAAGGATATAAGAGGTTGAAGACAAGTCAAGAAAATATCATGATCATAATCTTCAGGACCTCAAGGACATGTTAAAGACTACATATATGACTCTGTGGTATAGAAGAAGGCACTGAGATATAAAGACATAGAAAACCTACTCAATAAAATTACAGCAGATAACCTCCAAATCTAGGTAAAGAAACGAACATCCAAAAACAGGTGGCAATTAAACCCTAATCGGTTAAGTCCAGAATCTTTCCATTATGGTTTTAGTGATAATGTAAATAAATGTCAATTCTCCAGTTAAAAGAGGTACAATAAATTAAAAACAAGATCTAACTATTTGCTTTCTGCACAAAACTCTTTGACTGGCAAAGAAACAGACTGACAGTGAAGGATGGAAAATGGTATTTTAAGCAAGTGGAATTCAAAACTAAGAAGTAGCCATAATGATATTTGACAAAACAGATTTTAAGCCCAAATTAGTCAAAAGAGATATTAATAAAGGGAACAATCCATCAAGAAGATATAATGACTGTAAATATATATGCATCAAGTATTGGTATGTACATTTTTTCATAAAATAAAGGAACATTAGATCTGGAGCCAGTAATAGTGAATGATTTCACTTTCATCAATGGAGACCAAAAAAATCAGCATACAATCTTCATAGACATCTACAGAATATTCCTCTCAACATCCATGGAATGCAGCCCATAGAATTTTCTCCAATACAGAGCACATATTAAGGAATAAAGCAGATCTTTTTAAAATGAATTTCTTATATTGTATCATATAATAAAACCATCAATCGGCAGCAAGAAACTACATAAAATATAATAAAACATGGAGAATGAATACTATACTTTGAATAATCAGTGGTTTGAGGAAATTAGGAATCAAAATTCCTATAATCAAATGAAAAAGAAAACAAAATCGCTAGATTGTGAATAAAGGGATATAAGGATAAAGGGATGTAGCAAAGGATACAGCTAAGATTTATAACCACAAATGTACACCTTAAAAAAAAAATCAGCCAGGGCTGGGAAGGTGGCTCAGTGGTAGAGCGCTTGCCTTGCATGTATGAGGCCCTGGGTTCGATTCCTCAGCACCACATAAGCAAAAAGAAAAAAGCCGGAAGTGGCGCTGTGGCTCAAGTGGTAGAGCGCTAGCCTTGATCTGAAGGGCTGGGGACAGCGCCCAGGCCCAGAGTTCAGGCCCACGACCAGACCCCTCCCCCCCCAAAAAATCAGCCAAGCACCAGTGGCTCCCACCTGTAATCTTAGCTACTCAGAGGCTGAGATCTGAAGATCATGGTTCAAAGCCAAGCCAGGCAGGAAAGTCTGCAAGACCCTTATCTCCCATTAACCCCAAAAAGCCAGAAGTGGAGCTATTGCTCAAGTGGTAGAGTGCTAGCAATGAGCATAAAAGCTCAGTGACAGCACCCAGGCCCTGAGGTCAAGTACCAGGACCAGCACAAAAAAAAAGAAATCAAGACAGATTTCAAATAAATAATTTGATGCACTTCAAGCTCTTTAAAAAAAGTGAGAAAAGGTCAATGATAATTACTACATGAAAGAAATAATAAATATCAGAGTGGAAATTAATGACATGAAGACTTAAAAAATACAAAGAAAACAATGAAACAAAGAATTGATTCATTAAAAAAGAAAATAAGATTGACAAATCTTTAGCTACACTAACCCAAAAGGGAGGGGGAAACAGAAAATACAAATTAGTAAAATTTGAGATGAAAGGAGTACAGTAGATAACACTAAACTCCAGAAAATCATTAGGGTATATTTTTGGAAACTTATTTTCAAATTGGAAATGCTAGAAAAAAAACTGAATAAATTTCTAGACATATATGACCTACCAAAATTGAACCAAGGAGATACAAACAACCTAAAAAGTTAAATGTAGTGACACTGCAGCAATAATAAGTCTCTAAAACAAAGAGAATAATTCAGAAACATGGATTCAAGGCTGAATTCTGACATTTAAACAACACCATGCTCCAATGGCTCACACCTTTAATCCAAACTACTCTTTAGCCTCCATCTCCAATTAGGCAATGAAATGCCATACTGAAGGCATAGCTCAACTGGTAGAGTGCAAGCCAAAAACAAGCAAACTAACGAAATGCATGCAGCCCTAACTACAAGATCAAGTACACACACCAGCAACAACAAACACTAATGCATTTCTAGCCATTCCATAAAAAAGAAAGAGAAGGCCAGGCACCGGTGGCTCATCCCTGTAATCCTAGCTACTTAGGAGGCTGAGATCCGAGGATAGTGGTTCAAAGCCAGCCCAAGCAGGAAAGTCTTTGAGACTCCAATAAACCACCAGAAAACTGGAAGTAGAGCTGTGGCTCACTTGGTAGAGTGCTCACCTTGAGCTGAAGAGCTCAGGAACAATGCCCAGGCTCAAGACCAACAAAGGAAAAAAAGAGAGAAAAAGAGAAGGAATGCTTCCAAACTCATCCAATGGCCAGTATTACACTAAAGCCAAAACTGGATAAGACAAAAAAAAAAAAAAAAAAGAGTGAGAGAAAACTATAGATAAACTTCCTTCATGAACACAGACACAAAATTCCTTAATGAAATCCTAACAACTGAATCGAAAAATCACATTATAAAGTTCATAAGCCATGCTCAAGATGGATTTATTCCAGGAATGCAAGGATAACACAACATTCTCAAATAAATATAATAACAAATAAAATCAAGGTTAAAAGATCAGAGTTGGAACTGGGAAGGTGGCTCAGTGGTAGAGTGCTTGCCTTGCATGCATGAGGCCCTGGGTTCGATTCCCCAGCACCACATAAGCAAAAAGAAAAAAGCCGGAAATGGTGCTGTGGCTCAAGTGGTAGAGTGCTAGCCTTGAGCTGAAGAGCTGAGGGACAGCGCCCAGGCCCAGAGTTCAGGCCTCACCACCCGACCAAAAAAAAAAGATCACAGAGTCATCTCAATAGATGCAGGAAAAGCCTTTGGCAAAATTCAAAGCCTTTTCATAATAAAAGCCTGGAAAAACTAAAAACACAAGGAAAATAATCCAACATAATAAAGACTATGTAGAACAAACCTGTTGCCAACATATTCCAAATAGCGAAGACTTGAAAACATTTCCACTAAAGAACAAGAAAAGGGTGCTGCCTCTCTCCATTCTTATTCAACAGTGTTTGAATTCTTAGCCAGAGCAATAAGGCGAAATAAATGAATACAAGTAAGTCAAGAAGGAGTCAAATCATTCCACTTTGCACAGTTTATGATTGCATACTTAAAATACCCTAATGACTTCACTAGAAGACACTTAGATATGACGAACATTTTCAAGCAAAGTAGCAAACTACAAAATCAGCATGCAAAAATCTGTATAACTTTTCTCTACACCAATAACAAATAGCCTGAGAAAGAAATCAGGAAAACAATCTCTCAGATGCAGTTTTTTCCATTCCCAATTACTTTAAGGAAACAAAAAAAATAGCATGAAATTTCAATGTAGTAGGTAAAGACAAACTGAATACATACTGTGAGGGCACTGGAAGCTTATACCTGTAATCCTAAGTATTCAGGAGGCTGAGATTGAGAATCATAGTTCAAAAAACAAGCCTGAGCAGGAAAGCCTGAAAGAATCTTATCTCCAATTAATGACCAAGAAGCCAGATGTAGAGCTGTGGCTCAAGTGGTAGAGTGTTAGCCATGAGCAAAAAGGTAAAAAAGTGCCTAGGCTCTGAGTTCAAGCCCCAGCACTGGCACCCATGCACCCCCCGCACCCCCACTGCCACACAATTGAAATACTTTTCACTTCAACTTGTAAGAGAAGTGAATCAGGAACTCCAAGAGTGGGCTTATAAAGGTGTCAAAAAGAAGAGACTGACATCTCAATCCCTAAAAGGATATGAACCTAGAAAACCAAGTTGTTTAGCTTCGTTTCTAGTTGGGCAGAGAAAATGGAAATTAGAAAGCTACCAATGGCCAAGAGCAGAACAATGTAAGAAAGAGAAAATTCTGCACAGCTATTTGGCATGGCAAGGTCATGGAGGTTCACTAGAGCTTAACAAACATATGGATGATAGCTAATGTTAAGTCACCTTGCTTGTACTATCTACTCCAAGATGACTGCAAAATAAAGGACTCTAGCAAGATGGGGTCAGATAAAGAGTAAAAGGAGCAAATGGATAACAATGTTAACCATCAAGTCAGAACCTGATTTCCCACATTAGATTTATGCATTGGTAAATGAATGACCAGCAAGTTACTGCAAGTTATTATACTGATAAATATCAGCTCAAGATACCAATAAGTTGTGTGAACTAAAAAAAAATGAAAGCATTTCACACTCAGTAGATTCATATGTGTATATGTTATTAGGTATAGATTCATGAAACCAGAACCTTTTTATTTATAAAATTACTATCTTAGAAATTTTAGCAACGAACCTTTGGTAATGATGAAGATAAATTGCCTTTACTCCACAGATAGTCTCTTTTATCTTTGGATTTGCCATGGTCGACTGATGAAAAATTTCGAGATATATTTTGTGGAGGAGTTGCTTTAGAATCAAATTTCTGGTAAGGAACTTTAGATGATTCCAGTGCATATGTCTGTGTTTTCTGAATCAAACAAAAGTGAATAAAACCATCATTAATTTTATTGTTTGATTTGTGTGACAGGGTCTCATGATGTAGCCCAGACTTACCTCAAACTCCAGGTCCTCCTGCCTCAGTCTAAGTTGTTTTGTTTCGTTTTTTTTTGTCCGTCATGGGTCTTGAACTCTGGGCCTGGGTGCTGTCCCTTAGCTCTTTAGCTCAAGGCTAGCGCTCTACCACCTATGCCACAGTACCACTTCCGGTTTTCTGGTGGTTAGTTGGAGATAAGAGTCTCATGGACTTTTTTGCCTAGGATGGCTTTGAACCAAGATCCTATTATTACAGGCGTTGAGATACTGGAGCCTGGCTTCAGTCTAAGTTTTGAGATTACAGGTTTATACTATCAGGTCTGGCTCCTAATGGTTATAGTTACTTCTGTAAAATAACTAGTAGTATTAGGACTGAAATGAACTAGAATTTAATTCCAGATGTATTACTGATCAGAGTCCATTTAAGATGTATATAGTATCCACTGCTGCTTATATTCACAAAGCTACTGTTAAAACAAGTGAGATTTCAACTATCTATTGATCAGAAGCTGAAGATTCTTAAAAAAAAATCTCCTGTGGTAAAAAAAAAAAACAACTTCAATCTATCCTTCATTCTAATGGCCTAAAACCCACAGAATAATTTCCTTCATCCTATGTTTTCATTCATTTTTTTCCTCCTTCTATTTCTCCCTCCCTTTCTCCCTAGTCTCTTTCTTTTCCCTCTCCTCATTTAATCCTCCTCTCTACCTTTCTTCCCTCTCAATTTCAGCAGCCTCATTTATGCTCAAAAACGGGGGAAATCATAGTAAATAATGAGAAGCCAGCTACTCAATAGGCACAGGCCACAGAACTCGAATTTGTTGCTGTTTTATCGATCATGGGGCTTGAACTTGGGCCTGGGCACTGAACCTCAGCTCTTCAGCTCAAGGTGAGCACTCTACCACTTGAGCCACAGCATCACTTCCGGTTTTCTGGTACTTTATTGGAGATAAGAGTCTAACGGGCTTTCCTGCCTGGGCTGGCTTTGAACTGCGATCCTCAGATCTCAGCCTCCTGAGTAGCTAGGATTATAGGTGCCTAGCTGGATCTCGAGTTTGAATCTAGCCAAGGTAAAGTCATGAGACCCTATCTCAATAACAAATAAAAACAAAAGAGCTGGAGACATAGCTCAAGTAGTAGATTCTAAAAATAAACAAATTGAACTTTTAAATAACTGACATTATTTCAACTCATTTCCATTCATCCTTTTTCTACTTTGTATACTCATTTCTTTACCACCTAACCCAGATTTTTAGTAAAAGTTAGTTATAGGCGAGGTGCTAGACAAGCACTTTACTACTGAGTTACATATCTGACCCTCAAATCTAGTAACAATTGACTTAATGGAATCTTACATGAAACTTATGTTATTACTTTCTATTTTGCCTCTTCTTTGGTCACTGTCATCTCCATAAGTGCAATTATGGCAATCATTTATTTAAAAGAATGTAACACACACTCACACATTCCCAAAGTTGGTGGTTGTATTTACACTGATTTTAAATAGTAGATATGAAAGTACAAGATTATATGTCTGTATGACTATTTGGAAAAATACTTCTAAATATTTTACTAGATATATAAATATCTAATTATTTACCTAGATAACTTCTAAATATTTTGCTAGCTAACTTTAAATATCCAAGCATCTGCAGGCTCAAATTTATTCATCTTTATAAAACCAAGAAGCTAAACAAAGTGATTTGTAGCTTTCTTGACTAGTTCTAGTAATTATGAAATGACTCATTTTTTCCAGCATGTATAAATTTTGGTATCCTTTCTTCAAAGTTCTATTTCTGTATCCTTTTCCCTACATATTTCTACATCATCCTTAATAGCACAGTTCTAATAAAAGTAATTCTTTTCCTGCTTCCTGGATTTGTAAGGAGTTACAATTAGAACATTCAAACATGACAAGCTGAAGGTTCCAACTGTAGGCCTGAGAAAAGCAATTTAAAGTTGCTGTATCACCATCTTGTGGTTATGTCAGGGAACTGACATTTACCTGATGGCCTAATAAGACCCTTCTCATCCCACACTGGAGAATACTTATCCCTTTACATAATTATAGCCATCATGGAAACACACCTTCCCTTTCAAATTATATTTTATGAATGTTATACTACCAGTCATAAATATACACAGAACTTTTAAACAAAAACTATCTCATGGACTTTAGTATCATAACGCTCTTATTTCATGGCATGAAGAAGTATCTTATCCCAAGTCATAAACACTTGATAAACTTGATGACTATTATATAATGACTGTGATATTTCAGTAGTGTAGCCAAAAGTGACCTAGTTGTATTTCATGTCTTTGGTTTTGTTTTGTTGTGTATTTGTCAGTTGTGGGTGGGTGCTCTACCACTTGAGCCACAGCACCACTTCCGGTTTTCTGGTGGTTTATTGGAGATAAGAGTCTCACGGACTTTCTTGCCTGGGCTAGCTTTGAACCATGATCCTCCTATCTCAGCCTCCTGAGTAGCTAGGATTACAGGCATGAGCAACCGGTATTGTTTAAACACATATACTATCCAAACATCCCAGATAATATAGACAGCAGATAATATCTTATAACAGACACAAAGATTTTTTGTTATACTATATTTATTACAGAATTATATATGAACTAAAACATCTCAGTAATAGAGTCTACATTTATAAAAGAATATTAGTGTTTAAACAATTTACTTATCTTTATCAATCACTAAGACTATAGTCCTGTTGGTTTATTTTATTATGATGATAATTTCTTCAAATACAATGTTTTCAAGTATCTTAGTGTTGTATCTGAGACAAGAAAGCACTAAATATTCTCTAATAGGTTCAATATGTCCTTCTTCTCTGTCTTTAAAATCAAATGTTACAAAACTGGGCCTAACAAGTGAGCTGTTCCCAAAACCATGCTGATTCTCACTTTCAGTTTGATTATAATCATAACGTGTGTGGGGACTGAGAAGACTATAATTTGTACTTATTTTCAAAATATTGGTCAAATTACAATTCTTCTTCAAAAATCCTGTCTTATCAAATCATTATAGAGTCTTCTTCCCATATCTGGAGCTTTCTTACATGTTTCCTTTCCATGATCCACTAGGATAACATTCCTAACTTTTCACTGCTTCCTTAGGGAGACATAATGACTTCAAGTGACTGGTAAAACTTGAAGGAAACACCAGACAAATACAGATAGTACAGTCCCTTTCTTATTCCTCCTCTTAAACACAAGAGAGAGCAGTTATCTGCCCTGTTTCTTTATCCATAAATTTACAACAACAGGCTATCATGAAGGTAGGTCTATCTCAGGTCAAGGTCTACTTATGACAAAATAGGTAAATCTGTCTAATTTAGTATTTTAGGATTTAAGAAACTCTTCTAGCACATGTAAGGTCCTGAGTTCAGTCCACAGTAGGATATAGGTTCTCTTGTTATTGGCTATAAACCATATTATCCAATATTGGTTATCAACAATAAATATTGTTTTGAGAATCTTTCATCTCAGTTGGTTCAGAATTGAAACAGGAAAACAAAATTCATTTATTCAGTATTCTCAAAACTCAAATTAAGACTGAAGGTATTTCTCAAGTGATAGAACACCCACAGTAAACAAAAACTCAAAATAGAAGCCAGGCGCCGGTGACTCATACCTGTAATCCTAGCTACTCAGGAAGCTGAGATCTGAGGATCCCAATTCAAAGCCAGCCCAGGCAGGAAAGCCCATTAGACTCTTATCTCCAGTTAATCACCAGAAAACCTGAAGTGGCACTGTGGCTCAAGTGGCAGAAATCTAAATATAAACTTTAGAATATTTTTGGAAGTGCTAAAGGTCAAACCTAGGGCCTGTATGTGTGTTAGATAATGCTCTACAATTACTATATCCTCAGCCAGCATCAGATTTTTTTTTTTTGTGGGTCATGGGGCTTGAACTCTGGGCCTGGGCACTGTCCCTCAGCTCTTCAGCTCAAGGCTAGAGAGCTCTACCACTTGAGCCAGCATACCACTTCCAGTTTTCTGAGTAGTTTATTAGAGATAAGAGTCTCACAGACTTTCCTGCCCCAGCTGGCTTTGAACCATGATCCTCAGATTTCAGCCTTCCAAGTAGCTAGGATTACAGACGTGAGCCACCAGCACCCGGCAGCATCAGAATTTTTTTTTTTTTTTTGTCAGTCATGGGGCTTGAACTCTGGGTCTGGGCGCTGTCCCTCAGCTCTTCAGCTTAAGGCAAGCGCTCTACCACTTGAGCTACAGCACCACTTCCAGTTTTCTAGTGGTTTATTGGAGATAGGAGTCTCACGGTCTTTCCTGCTTGGGCTGGCTTTGAACCTTGATCCTCAGATCTCAGCCTCCTGAGTAGCTAGGATTACAGGCATGAGTCACCAGTGCCCGGCTGCATGAGAATTTTTAATCAAAGTATATTACCTTTACATAGAGAAACTTCTCAGAGGGAATACATAGGAGTATGTACCTAATTTAAGATGATACAGGCTTGGAAGATGGCTCAGTGGTAGAGTGCTTTCCTTGCAAGCATGAGGCCCTGGGTTCAATTCCTCAGCACCATATAAGCAGAAAAAGCCAGAAGTGGCGCTGTGGCTCAAGTGGTAGGGCGCTAGCCTTGAGCTGAAGAGCTGAAGGACAGTGCCTAGACCCAGAGTTCAGCCCCCACGACTGACAAAAAAAAAAAAAAGAGAAAAGATGATACTATAGAAAGAATTATAAAGACTAAAATTATCTCTAAAGGACAAAGAGTTTTGAAAATTCTGGCTAATGTTTGAGAATTAATCAACAGTGTGAAGTAATTTAAGAACTAAAATTATATATGTTATCTTCTTATTTACGAACAAAAATATTTCTAAGTAAATGTTATAAAGTAAATTTGTTATCACAAGAACAAAATTACATAAAACTCTTACCTTGTCTACTTTTTCTTTTGGAATGACTATATTTTCTTTGGCATCTCTTTTCAGTTTTTCCTATTAAATATTTAACACATACAAAATCATCATTACTATAATAATAAATAACGAATCTTCATACTAAAATCTTTTCTATTAAATATTTTTAAAAAAGCAATTAGCCTTTGGCTCACAGCTATAAATCCTAGGTATTCTGGAAGATGAAATCTGAGGATCATGTTTGAAGCCAGCCCAGGCAGAAAAGTCTATGAGACTCTTATCTCCAATTAATCACCAAAAAAAACCAGAAGTAGAGATGTAGTTAAAGTGGTAGAGAGACAGCACCCACATTTTAAGTTCAAGTCCCATGAACCCCCCAAAAAAGTATCTGTCTCAATCTTCTAAAATAATAAAAAAATTAGTTCCTTTTTATAGAAATTTTTTAGTTATTTTAAGTAGTTGTACAAGGAGTTTCAATTCCATGTGTAATTTCATGAGTACAATGCATCTTGATCATTATCTCCCCTTCCATCATTCTGCCTCATCTCTGCCAATCCCACACATTCCCCAAAGGTACAAGGTTCCACTTCTACATATATACATTGAATATTAAAACTATATTCACCCAACCTCCATATCTCCATTCATCAGTTATTTGGTTTTAAATATTTTTTATTATTCTGTTTTCTAGTGTGTTATCTGTAAGATTAAGTATCTTAAATGCTGACTCTCAGCTTATTTATAAAATGAACTTTTACTGAAGAATAGTGTGTATACAGAAAGAGTCTAAATAAAAATCAAAGAAAACTTAGTCAGAGGAGCAAGTGTTATATACTAAACTACAAGATTTATTCAGTAAGAAAAAAGAAAATTTAAGCCTGACCTACAGAAATGAAAATGGAATATGCATGTAATATGACAATCATCAATAGAACACTTTTAGTCCCAGTAGCAACCCATAAAAAGTTTCAGAGAAGGGAAATTTTCCAAGAACTTCAAATAATCAAATTTATGTTGCCAGGGCTGGAGGCATGGCTTAAATGGTAGAAGTCCTGCCTTTCAAGGACAAGGGCCTAAGTTCAAACCTCAGTACCATTTTTTAAAATGTCTGTTTTCTCATAATGCCTATGTCTATATCTATTTTCAGTGCGTATACAAAGTACTTCTCCTACAATACTGCTAGTAACCAAAGAACTCAACTAATCAAAAAAAGAAGCTGGCAATAAACTGACTTAATATATGTATTGCTGTTACTATTATGTATCCTGTCATCCATAATGGTTGATATTTGGTTATGAAAACTAGGATCAACTCAAACCTACTGGGCTGGAATGCTGTCTTCTAGGACAGTGTATTTACTAAACGTGCAATATTTCATTAACTCTCAGAATGTCTTGGATTCTAGAGGGAAGAAACCATCTTCTATAACTGCCCATCTCTTTATCTTTTGCTGATAGGAAAGGTATCAGGCAAATAGATCAAGAGCTCTTAGTTTCAGAAATAGGTATTACTAAAGTTTGTATATAATCTGAATATATGAAATGTACCTACGGCATGGCTTGGCAAAGAGAGATGAACTTGAGCCACCAGAGGAGAGAACAACATCCCTGCGACCAAGTTTCAGACTATAAATAAAAAGAAAGCCTAGGGGTCTTTATGGACAAACTCTTGCAATAACTCACCCTTATCACATCCTTCCTAGAATGTGTGTTCTGGGAACAAAAATATTGAGACTCATGAATTATTAAAAATTGCTTTAGCAAATACTGATTCTTAGAGATCTATAATGTTATGCTTATTTTTTACCAGTTAAAAGTGAAAGAAGAGCAGAGCTGGGTGACAAACAACATTTAATCTGTCTATTTTTCATGAGCTTTCCAAAACCTAAAAACTGTGGTCATTTCTTTAGATACTGATAAACAGTTTGAATAAGTAAATTCAGCAAGTGACATATCCTCACTGTGTTTCTGACCATAGAGAGATTTGACAGTTGGAATGATCAACTAGAAAACCTTGAAACTCGCTGTTCATATGAAGATAGTAAATAAACTTCAATCACTAGGCAAAGTCCCCTCAAAGAGCATTTGCCTAGTGTGGGAGAGGCTTTAGGTTCAAGCCTTAGCATGTCAAGAAGGAAAGGGAAAGGAAAAAGGAAAATGAAAACAAAAGAAGAAAAGAAGAAAAGGAAAGGGGAAAGGGCAGGGAAGAAGGAAGGGTAGGGAAAGTAAAAGGGAAAAGAAAGGAGAAAAGAAAGAGGAAAAGGAGTGGAAGGAAAATGACAAAGGAAGGGAAAGGAAATCAAACTATGAAACTGTAAGGAAGTCAATATATTTTAACTCGAAGTTAACTAGGGGTCATCTGGTAAGCTACTTCATAGTATATAGGTAAAAATGGTAATTATCATATTAACTGAGATCAAAATTAACAACTAAAAAACTACACATTAAACATAAATATTAAATGTAAATATGAATATCAAGTTAAACAGACACAGTAATCATGGTTAAAAATGGAATACGTATTTTTATAAATCTTGACTATATTATATAGTAAAATAAATGCCAAATTATATCTTGATGGGGAAAAGATGAAGTAGGAGGAAGTGCTAATATATTATTTCAAAATATAAAGTTAACTAGTAAAGACAGATACTGGTGACTCATGCCTGTAATCCTAGCTACTCAGGAGGCTGAAATCTGGAAGATTTCAAAGCTAGCTTAGGCAGAAATTCACTCGATTCTATCTCCAAAAGAATTAGCAAGCCAGGTACTAATGGCTCACATCTGTAATCCTAGCTACTAAAGAGGTTAAGATCTAGGATCACAGTTCAAAGCCAGCCCAGGCAGAAAAGTCCATGAAACTCTTATCTCTAATTAACCACCAGAAAAGTGGAAGTGGCACTGTGACTCAAGTGGTAGAGTGCTAGTCTTGAGCTGAAGAGCTTGGGGACAGTGCCCAAACCCAGAGTTCAAGACCTATGACCGACAAAAAAATCTAATACCATATTTTAAAAAATATATAATGATCAAATGGGGATTATTCTAGAAATACAAGAACAGCTCAAAACAAAATATATATCACATCTGTAACTATAATTACTAATATAATAACTTTTTTTGGACAGCCCTGGGGCTTGAACTCAGGGCTTAGGCACTGTCCCTCAGCTTCTTTTGCTCAAAGCTAGTACTCTACCACTTGAGCTACAGCTTCACTTGTGTCTTTTTCTGTTTATATGGTACAGAGGAATTGAACCCAATGCTTCATGCATGTTAGGTAAGCACTCTACCACTAAGTCATAATAGCAGAAAGTCACTCAACTGAAGTCAATGAAGAATTAAAAATAAAATACATGGAATATACAAAACAAAATGGTCACAATACAACTATCAATTGACACTGACTGAAGCAAATAGACAAAAGATTTTAAAAAATGGGTATACCATGAGATTCCAGTATACTATTCCAGTGATGCGGAACTTTAAACACACAAATTATTAATAATTGTTACTCATTATTTCTGGAATTTTTCTATTTAATATTTTTGGACCACATGTGACAATGGATAAGTGAAACTGTAGATAATCAAAATTACTATATTTGTAAACCATTTGTCCAATGTTGATTTGAGTATCTGCTCTCTCCCAAACTCACAATTTGGTTATAGTGGCAGAGTTAACAGATGGCATCTCTGGAAGATCAAAGTGTCAGTAAAGGCTAACCTATTATAGGTAAAATAAATGACATTAACAACGGGGTGTACATGGACCCCTTCTGTCTCTTTGCCCTTCTGCTGTTCACTATGTTAAAGCATGACATTCCTCCTCTCTGAAGGATATCCCAAGAAGGCCCTCTCCAGACAATGGTTACCATCTTTCTCCCCAGCTAAAGTCATGGAAAAAAGAGGATCATAAAACCTACCTCCATCTCAACCAATAAAAGTTGTGTTTAGTGCTGCATACCTGTCATTCCAGCTATTTGAGAATCATAATAGAAGCACTGAGTGCCAAGCAAGCCCAAGGCTTTATTTGAAAAAGAACCAAAGCAAAAGGAGCTGAAGGCATGGCTCAGGTATTACAGCACCTGTCTAGCAAGCATAAGGTCCAGAGTACAAACATCAGTATTCCCTAAAATAGAATCCTCAAAATTCAAAGTAGAAAAAAATTTAGTTAAAGAATGGATAAGATATATGAACACATATTTCATAAAACAGGGTAAGTAGATAATAAGTAGGCATTGGGGGAAAACAAACAGCTATAACATCATTAGACTTCTGACAAGCACACAGAGAAACTATCACTTATATACTGCTGCTGGGAACGTAAAATGGTACCATTACTTGGAAATGAATTTGGCAGTTTCTTATAAAACGAATCTAACACTACCATGCAACTTAGCAACTACAATCACTGGCTATTATTTCAGAGAGATAAAAAGTTACATTCAGCTGGGCGCTGGTGGCTCACGCCTGTAATCCTAGCTACTCAGGAGGCTGGGATCTGAGGATCACAGTTCAAAGCCAGCCCTGGCAAGAAAAGTCCATGGGACTCTTATCTCCAATAAACCACTAGAAAATCGGAAGTGGCGCTGTGTCTTAAGTGGTAGAGTGCTCTCCTTGAGCTGAAGAGCTGCAGACAGAGCCTAGGCCCAGAGTTCAAGCCCCACGACCAAAAGACCTGTACTCTAAGCCACACTAAGACCTGCACACGTAAATGTTCATAGCTGTTTTGTTTTTAACAGCTCAAAACAGGAAACAACCAGATGTCTTTCATTAGATGAACGCTTAAATTAACAGTGGTAGGTATATCCATACCATAATAATGCTTGGTAATGAAATGATAACTCACAGAAATTTCCAAGCAATCATGAGTGAAAAAAGCTAATCCCAAAAGAGTGCTTAAAGCACAGGTAGTGATTTTAAAATATTTTCAATGGTAGAAGTCTTATTTGTATTAATTAAAGAGTAAAAATTAAAGGTTGCTCAGGGTGTAATCAGAACATAAAAAGACACAGTAATTCCTCCACTGAGGGGCTGGAAAAGTGGCTCAGTGGTAGAGCGCTTGCCTTGCATGCATGAGGCCCTGGGTCGATTCCTGAGCATCACAAATAAGCAGAAAAAAAAAGCTAGAAGTGACACTGTGGCTCAAGTGGTAGAGCGCAAGCCTTGAGCTGAAGAGCTGAGGGACAGTTCCCAGGCCCAGAGTTCAGGCCCACGACCGGACCCCCCCCCCCAAAAAAAATAATAATTCCTCCACTGAAACAGCAGGATAAAGGTCATCCATGTTATTATAATAGGTGAAGAGAAAGCAATTTAGTAATTTCTTGAAATTTACTGAAAACATCAAAATTTCAAAATCTTTGGCTTGGATAAAAGATAAACAAAGATAACACATAATCTAGCCTTTTAAAAGCTTGTAATATAATGGAAATATAGAGTGAAATAATCATTTTAAGAAAAAAATATTATGGGCTGGGAGCGCTTGGCTTGTAATGCATGAGGCCCTGGGTTCGATTCCTCAGCACCACATAAGAAAAAAGCCGGAAGTGGCGCTGTGGAAGAGCGCTAGCCTTGAGCTGAAGAGCTGAGGGACAGCGCCCAGGCCCAGAGTTCAGGCCCCACGACCAGACCCCCAAAAAAAAAAAGAAAAGAAAAAAATATTATAAAAATACTTTACAATAAGCTCATATTTGTAAAATAAAAGGTGAAATTTTCCACAGATGGAGAGGATGAAAGAAATTAAGTACAAAAACCAAAGTTAGTAAGTCCATAGCCTTGAAACTGAAATTCTGATATCTAGGTTGTCGTAGAGTGACTAAAGAAACAGTTGTCATTCTATTTTCTTTTGGGGAGGGGGGATCCGGTCATGGGGCCTGAACTCTGGGCCTGGGAACTGTCCCTCAGCTCTTCAGCTCAAGGCTAGTGCTCTACCACTTGAGCCATAGCGCCACTTGCGGCTTTTTTCTTTTTTCTTATATGGTGCTGAGGAATTGAACCCAGGGCCTCAGGTATGCAAGGCAAGCGCTCTACCACTGAGCCACCTTCCCAGCCCTGTCATTCTATTTTCTATTTTATCTTGAATAAATAGTCTAACTTCTGTAAAGATGAAGACAATAATAAGTTATTTTAGGGTAAAATTAGACACAAGTAGGGCACACAGCACAGTACCTGCCATACAGAAAGCAAAAAGAAAACTGGTTATTTTGCAGTGTGAGTCATTCACTTTGCAAACTGCAAAATGTTACAAACATAAACCTTGAATAGCTCAGAAACACACTAAACATATGAACATTTTAATATGTGAAATAATACTTCTTAGCCATATTAGATTTAAAGGCATTTCTTGTCACTATTGGACTTTACATTTCATAAATTGGTATTGTACTAAGTAGTAGAGCCGAGCCCGCAGCCTTGCACTTTTAATCTTAAAAGTGTATGTGCCCTCATACTTCTAATCCTTGCTACTCAGGAGGCTGAGAGCTGAAGATCATGGTTCTAAGCAAGCCAGGAAGGTCCATGAGACTCATCTCCAACTAACCACCAAAAAGCTATTAGTGGAGCTGTGGCTCAAATTAGCCTTGAGCAAAAAAGCTGAAGGACATAAGCCTGATTTCAAACCTCAGGACTGGCACAAAAAAAAAAAGCATGAGCCAGGCACCAGTGGCTCAGGCCTATCATGCTAACCACTCATGAGACTGAGACCTGAGGATCACAATTCAAAGCTAGCCTGAGCAGGAAAAGTCAAAGAGACTCTTAACTATAATTAATCACAAAAAGCTAGAAGTTGAGCTGTGGCTCAAGTATTAGAGTGCTAGCCTTTACCAAAACAGCTCAGGGACAGCACCCAGGCCCCAAGTTCAAGCAACCAGTACCAGAAAAAAAAGTGTATAATCTCATATGTGTTTAGCTTTTTAAAAAAATGAAATAATGCTCTAAATACATATTTTTAAAAAAGCAAATAGGGAAAGGTCTATTTTTCATTCTCAAAATTTATCAAATTATTTTGTAATATGACCACATTTTAAATGAATAGTTGCACCAAATACAATTATTTTAATTATAATGTCACAATACTTACTTTTTCTTCTCTTTCTATTTCAAGTTGCTTCTGCATGGACAGAAGTTCATCTTTTATATTAGACAGCTCATTCTCCTGAAGAAAAAGAAACATGAAGGGTTTCCTTATTGTTCCTTAAGACAATTAAAGTGTAAATTAGTGCTTCAAGGAAATTTAGATCAATAAAGACATACTTCCACTCAGAAAACATCTTTTAAAAATCTACATCAAGTGTGAGGGCTCACATGTAAAATCACAACTACTTGACAAGGAAAGATCAGGAAGTTGGTAGCTGAAGGCCAACATGGGAGAAGAACAAGACCACATTTCAATCAATGAACTGGGCACAGTGGAGCAGTGCCTGGGATCTCAGCTATGTGGGAGGCTATAGGCAGGAAGACTGTAGTCACAAATCAGCCCTGGGGGTTGGGGGAATGGATAGGGATAGAAGTAAGACTCTACCTGAAAAATAACTAAAGTAAAACAGTGTTGAAGGCATGTCTCAAAAGTAGAACACCAGCCTAACAAGCCCAAGGCTTGTAGTTCAAACCCCAGTACTGAAAAATAAATTTAAATAAAAATAAAATTTATAGATATAAAAGGTTGCTAACTGGACATAAGTAGACTTAACTTAAAAATTCAGTTTTTAAGCAGGGCACCCGTGGCTCACACCTGTAATCCTAGCTACTCAGGAGGCTGAGATCTGAGGATTGAAGGTCAAAGCCAATCCGGGCAGGAAAGTCCGTGAGGCTCTTATCTCCAATAAACCACCAGAAAACTCGTAGCGGCACTGTGGCTCAAGTGGTATAGCGCTAACCTTGAGCTGAAGACCTCAGGGACAGCACTCAGGCCCTGAGTTCAATCAAGCTCCACAACTGACCAAAAAAAAAAAATTAAGTTTTTTAAGGTTTTCTCTTTTTTTTGTCAGTCATGGGGCTTGAACTCTGGGCCTGGGCACTGTCCCTGAGGTCTTCAGCTCAAGGTTAGTGTTCTAACTTGGGCCTCAGGACCACTTCCGGTTTTCTGGTGGTTGGAGATAAGAGTCTCAGGGACGAAATTCCTGTCTAGTCTGACTTTGAACCATGATCCTCAGATATCAACCTCCTGAGTTGTGAGCCAGTGAGCTAGGATTATAGGTGTGAGCCAGTGAGCCACCAGCATCCAGCTTAGGTTTTCTTAAAGGATTTAATGTATGAATATCTCTCCTCCTCTTCTCCAAATCTATCTTGTTCTCCATTCCTAACCATCAAAGTTTCAAATTTACATGTTAACTGGACTTTATTAGGTTTCAGTTGGAAAGAACTTGTTCCACAATTTCAGAAAATTGAAAAACACTTAATGAGAAGTTTTATTAGTGTTTTTCTGATGTAATACCGTAGCATAAGATGTATTTTACATAATGTCCTTTACTATCAGCCATGCTAATATTCTAAAAATTGGGTTTTACTTATATTTTGTTCTGTGTCTCACCAAAGATGTTTTCACTGATGACTGTTCTTGTTCTCTGCTTTTATATAGTCCTAATTCTGAGTCTCTTTCTTCAACCATCTTATCATACTGGTGCTGTATTAAAGAAAACATTTTAGGTATATATAGTTTATATATAGTTTATATCTTAATATTGGTATTCTAATACTTGAAGAAAAGGATGTTTATATATTGTGTGTATATATATTACATATATATATGTATTTTAGTTTCTGAATTATATATTTTTTCATTTAAGTAACTTAAACAGTGAAAGATAAACCACCATCTTGGAAACAACCTAATCAAAGAACAAGAAATTACCTCTTTTCAACTGGAAACATTGAATTTCTTCATTTAAAAAATATAAGAGATGGACAGCTACCTTATGAGGCAGCAATATCCTCAAAACCTTGAGGGCTATAAAAGGTCACCTGAGACAATACCTGGCACTACTTCTCTCTTTTGTGACAAGTTTTGCTTTAAACCTTTTGTTGTTTAAAAAATAAAAAATTTAATATATATATATATATATTTCTTTATATACATACACACATATATACATACATATGTATGAGAAACACAGGACTTCTTAGAAAAGTGTTTGATTCCAAATTTGGAGCAGAAAATACCAGATAAACCTAGAAAATTATATCATTATTATTAAAAACTATTAGAGTCAAGTCAGAAAGACTTTCCAGCTGTCTTAAAGAGGTAACCACAACCAAAGGCAAGACAATTGTGTATCAATATGGATTAAAAATTGCACTGGACTAAAATATGTAATCTATTAGTTTATGATATTGTTTAAATTATTTCTTAAATTGCTTAGCATTTGCCTCATAAGAATGTTACATTCGGGGCTGGGAAGGTGGCTCAGTGGTAGAGCACTTGCCTTGCATGCATGAGGCCCTGAGTTCAATTCCTCAGTACCACATAAGCAAAAAAAAGAAAAAAGCCAGAAGTGGCGCTGTGGCTCAAGTGGTAGAGTGCTAGCCTTGAGCTGAAGAGCTGAGGGACAGCACCCAGGCCCAGAGTTCAGGCCCCACGACCAGACCCCCCTCCCAAAAAAAAGAATGTTACATTTAAGCTGGGTGCTGGGGCTCACACCTGTAATCCTATACTCAGGAGGCTGAGATCTGAGGATCAGGGTTCAAAGCCAGCCTGGGCAAGAAAGTCCATGAGACTCTTATCTCCAATAAATCACCAGAAAACCAAAAGTGACACTGTGGCTCAAGCGGTAGAGCACTCGCCTTGAGTTAAAGAGCATAGGGACAGCACCCAAGCCTAGAGTTCAAGCCCCACAACTGACATAAAAAAGAAAAAGAAAAAAGAGAAAGAATGTTACATTTAGCAATTTTTTTTATAAATGAATAAATTGGTATAACATACTTCCTCTGCAAATCTTGAGGGAAATTAGGGTTACTTTCCTAAAAGAATTTTTATAAATGACAATAAAAACCAGAGGACATTCACAAAGACAAAAAACATCAAAAAGCCAACCCTAGCTAAAAAATAACTAAGGAGTAGCTTAAGTTAAGTTAAGGAGTAGCTTAAGTAGTAGAGCACATAAAAACTCTGAGAGCAAACCCCATTGTTGCCCCCTAAAAGAAGTGTAAGAGAACTAGAAAACTTCATGAAAGAATGATTAGTTCTTCCACATGCTGATGGCTCAACATCTGTAACACTAACTTCTTAGGAGGCCAACATGTAAGGATGATGGTTTGAAGCCAGCCTAGGCAAGAAGACCATGAGAATTGTATCTCCAAGTAATCACAGAAAAAAAACAAAAAACAAAAAAAACAAGAAACAAAAATCTGGAAATAGGGGGCTGGGAAGGTGGCTCAGTGGTAGAGTGCTTGCCTTGCATGCCTGAGGCCCTGGGTTCGATTCCTCCACATAAGCAAAAAGAAAAAAGCTGGAAGTGGCGCTGTGGCTCAAGTAGTAGAGCGCTAGCCTTGAGCTGAAGAGCTGAGGGACAGCACCCAGGTCCAGAGTTCAGGCCCCACGACCGGACCCAAAAAAAAAAAAAAAAAAAAAAAAAAATCTGGAAATAGTAAAGCACCAGCCTTAGGTAAAAAAGCTAAGGAATAGTTCCAGGTCCCCTGAGTTCAAGCTGGTATCAGAAGAATAAAAAAATATTATTTCTATCTACTACTGGTGTTAAAGAGAAACTTACAGGCTGAGAATGTGGCTTAGTGGCAGAATGCTTGCATAGCATGCACAAAACTGTTGCAATTCCTCAGCACCACATAAACAGAAAAAGCCGGAAATGGCACTGTGGCTCAAGTGGTAGAGTGCTAACCTTGAGCAAAAGAGACTCAGGGACAGTGCTCAGGCCCTGAGTTCAAGCCTTAGAACTGGCAAAAAAAAAAAGAGAGAGAAATTTATTCAATAAAATGATACTCAAACTCAATGGTTAAGATCTAAACTTAGAGAAATAGAGATCAGAAGGATTCTAACTAATCACTATTGAGATTTGCACTAGTGATTCATGCCTGTAATCCTAGCTACTAAGGAAACTTAGATCTGGTTGATCACATTTAAGGCCAGCCTGGGTGGAAAGTCTGAGATTCCATCTTCAATTAACCACCAAAAAGCCATACTTCAGGTGTGTCTCAAGTGGTAGAACATCCACCTTGAACAAGAAAGTCCAATGACAGTGCAAGATTCTTGAGTTCAAGCTCCAGCTCTGGCACATACACATACACACACAAAATAGTCATGGTTATATGGAGAATAATTTCCTCTGATAAATCAGAACATTATTTTGAATTTATAGTTTTTAATATTACCTACCTTATGTTTTTCCATAAGTGCTACCATTTCTGCAATTTTATGTTGACATCGTATATCAATTTCTTTCTGTAATTTTACTGCTTCAGCAGCTGTTACTTTTGCCTTCTCAACCTATCAAATACACAAGAAGTTAATAATAAATTGATGCACAAAAAAAAAATTGAAACCAAAAGTAAAAAGCATGTGCTGTACTTACACAAAAGTCAAACGTCAAAAAATTAGAAAAAAAAAGACAAGTAAAAATTCAACAGTTTCAATTTATTTTAGGGTGTTTTATCTAGTGAAATTATAAACACTTAGCATTTCCCATATTATGCTACTAAATATTTAAATTTTTAGAATGATAGTTTTATCTTCTATAAAATACAAATTTGTTAAAACTTTTCTAAAATCACAATTTCAAAACAACTTTTATTATCTTCTTCCTTAAATGTTGACAAATATCCAGTCTAGTATTTTAGTATAATAAATAAGTTCTTTTTTCTTGAGGACTAAGTCAACAACTTCATGGAGGAGTGTCCTCACTTGAGCTATGCCCTCAGTTCATAGAATAAGTTTAGAACCCACCTCTCCCAAAAGATTTTCTTCTGACTTCTTTTTGTCTTCAATTTCTTTTTGGTACTTGTTAGTCATTTCTGCAAATTTTTGTTTTGAACTTTCCACTTCTAACTCTAATTTACTGATCTTTAAGAAAAAAACCATGAATGTTAGTGCATGTTGTGGATTACTTGAACGTATTCCATATTCATTTTATAATTTTCTGAATTTTTTATTGTGAAAATACCACACAATTAAGTGGGCTAGGTAATGAGTACATTTCTTATCAAGCGTTGTTGCCTCCTCCTTTGTTTCCCTTTCCCATCCCTTCCCATCTGCCCCCCTCACCAAAGCTGTAATGTTTGTTTTTCGACATAACGTCTTGTACATCTCATTGTTGGAATGGGTACGCCTGTATCCCTATTTTTTTTAGGGGTCCGGTCGTGGGGCCTGAACTCTGGGCCTGGGCGCTGTCCCTCAGCTCTTCAGCTCAAGGCTAGCACTCTACCACTTGAGCCACAGCGCCACTTACAGATTTTTTTCTTTTTTGCTTATGTGGTACTGGGGGATCGAACCCAGGGCCTCATGCATGCAAGGCAAGCACTCTACCACTGAGCACCTTCTCAGCCCCATGTATCCCTATTTAAACAATTTGTTTTTTCCCTTCTCCTCCACAAATTATACCAACATCAAATACAGTGATACAGTGAAAACGGGTTATACTGTGGGGAAGGGACATAGAAATATCTTATAAATATGTTAGAAACAATAGCAAGAAAGAAAAAAACATTTGAGTCCTTATCTTGGGGTTCATTTTGCCTAACGTCAACTTATCTGACCGTTTCTGCTTGTCTCCAACATATACTAGTTATTGCAAATAAGGGAAACCATGGGACAGGACCAAATTTTCTTAATTTTCAAATGTCACTTATTCATAGTAATTTCTCAAAGTGAGATGTGCTTCATTTTTCACAAAGCCTAGCTCATCCCTTAGAATATGTATTTAAAAGTCTTGACATGCAATATAAAGTAAGCAAATGCAAACATATTTTTATTGAACTTAACAGCATTTAAATTGGTTAGAACCAGTTCCATATGTCTTATGACCATAATTAACTGATCAAATGGATAGAAAAGCCACACTTTTTTCTTTTTTTTTTTTTTTTTTTTTTGGTTGGTTCTGGGGCTTGAACTGAGAGTCTGGGCACTATCCCTGAGCTCTTTTTACTAAACGCTAGCACTCTCACTTTGAGCCACAGTGCCACTTCCACTTTTTGAATGGTTAATTGGGAATAAAGGTCTCATGGGGACTTTTCTGCCCAGGCTGGCTTCAAACAGCAATCTGAGCCTCCTGAGTAGTTAGGATTACAGGCATGAGCTACCAGCACCCTACTAAAACACACACCTTCTAAGAAAAAGCATATTACTTCTGCATATTTTGTGCATAAATATCATTAAGTTGTATAACTATGCTTCAAAAACAGTAATTATAAGCTCATGCCTATAATCCTAGCTGCTCAGGAGGGTGAGATCTGAGGATCATGGTTCAAAGCCAGCTTCGACAGGTAAGTCTGTGAGACTCTTATTTTCAATTAATCACATAAAAGGCCAGAAGTGGTAGAGTGCTAACCTTGAGCAAAAGGAGATTAGAAACAGCATCCAAACCCAGAGTTCAAACACCAGGACTGGCAAAATAAAAACCAAAAACATTAATTATAAAAGAGAGAAAGGGGGGTCCTGAATTAGCATCTACTCTCCAAATTAACTTTTATCTTAGGAATAAATTAGAACTGGGGAGAAATATATATAGCAGGGACAGGAAGCTAAGTGATTTCACAATAAAACGGGTTGTATTGTGTATCTATGAATTATCCAATAACTTTAAGGCACAGAATATTACCAATATTGATAAAGGTGCTGAGTGACCCTCTTTATTATTTACCCCTCTCTCCTCAAAAGTTTACATCTTAATTATTTATAAATATTCACTATTTTCTGTTCTTCTAGTTTTATTGCACAAATATCTACCTGCAAGTAATACTTGTTTTGAACTTTAAACAAATGTTTTCACAGCATGTGTATTTTCAGTCTTTCTATATTCAACAGCATATTCAAGTTATTTATATCAATAAAGTTCACTCCTTTTTTCTGGTTGTAGTGTTCCATAATATGAATATAGTACAATTTATTTATATATTTATTATATATACTTAATACTTTAAGTGTTCATCTAAACATTTCCTGGGGCAAATATATAGAATTTCCCTATAACATATATTTAAGATTGGAATTTCTGGGTCCAAGAAATTATTTAAGAAGCTGAGTGCCAGTGGCTAACACCTGTAATCCTAGCTACTCAGGAGGCTGAAATCTGAGGACTGCAGTTTCCTGCCCAGGCAGGGAAGTCCACGAGACTCTTTTTTTTGGGGGGGGGGAGGAAGGGGGGGGTCCAGTCGTGGGGCCTGAACTCTGGGCCTGGGAACTATCCCTCAGCTCTTCAGCTCAAGGCTAGCACTCTACCACACTTGAGCCACAGCGCCACTTCCGGCTTTTTTTCTTTTTGCTTATGTGGTGCTGAGGAATCGAACCCAGGGCCTCAGGCATGCAAGGCAAGCACTCTACCACTGAGCCACCTTCCCAGCCCTTCCATGAGACTCTTATCTCCAATTAACCACCAGAAAATTGGAAGTGGCGCCGTGACTCAAGTGGTAGAGCACTGGTTTTGAGCTAAAGAGCACAGGGACAGCACAAAGCCCAGAGTTCAAGAGCCACAACCAAAAAAAAAAAAGCTTTATGATTCGTAAGTAATTATCACTCATTCATGTAGCCTTAAAATAGGAAACTGACAAACCCACAAAAATAGGAACCCACAAAAATCATGTGTATTTCAACACATCTCGATTAAGTAGCTAACAAAATATAAGAAAAAGACATTTAAAAACACAGAATTAAAAAGCATACAAAAATAATATAAGTATTCTTGCTAATGGAACACGCAAGCCAACCACCATAAGATACATTTTGTTTTCAGATACCTAAGCATATTTAAAATTAATTTTAACTATAAAATCTTAAATTTTAAATTCATTCTTTTTTTTTTTTTGCAGATCCCAGGGCTTGAACTCTAGGCCTACGTGCTGTCCTTGAGCCTCTTTGTGCTCAAGGCAGGCACTCTATCACTTGAGCCACAATACTACTTTTAGGGCTTTTTTTTTTTTTTGGTCAGTTATGGGGCTGACCCTCAGCTCTTTAGCTCAAGGCAAACACAATCTACCACTTGAGCCATAGTGCCACTTCCAGTTTTCTGGTGGTTAATTGGAGATAAGAGTCTCATGACTTTCCGGTTAGGGCTGGCTTTGAACCATGATCCTCTGATCTCACTCAGCCTCTGAGTATCTAGGATTACAGGCGTGAGCCACTGGCGGCCAAGATCTAAGGCTTTTTCTAAGTACTTAATTGGAGATGAGAGTCTCATGGGCTTTCTGCTCTGGCAGAACCATGATCCTTATATCTCAGCCTCCAGCATGGCTAGGATTACAAGAATGAACCACCAATGCCTGGCTTAAAAATCTTCAAAAGAAACTGTATCTAGGGCTGGGAAGTTGGCTCAGTGGTAGAGCGCTTGCCTTGCATGCCTGAGGCCCTGGGTTTGATTCCTCAGCACCACATAAGCAAAAAGAAAAAAAAAGCCGGAAGTGGCACTGTGGCTGAAGTGGTAGAGTGCTAGCCTTGAGCTGAAGAGCTGAGGAACAGCGCTCAGGCCTAGAGTTCAGGCCCCACGACCTGACCCCCCTCCCCCCAAAAAAAGAAACTAGTATCTTCATGAGGTCAGTAAAGATTTCTTATAGCAAACTTTACAATATTCATAAAAATCTGATAAATTAGTCCATTAGAATTTGAAAGATCTATGTATCAAAAGGTACCATTAAGAAAATCAATAGGGGTTTAGAGGCAAGGCTCAGTTGGTAGAGTCCTGGTCAATGAGTGAAAGCAGCAGGTACCAAATTTGAGTACCAGTCAAAGCAAGAAATGAGAAAGTGAGGGAGGAAGGAAGGAAGGAAGGGAGGGAGGGAGGGAGGGAGGGAATAGGCAATTGGGCACCAATGGCTCACAGCTGTAACCTTAACTGCTCAGGAGTTTGAGGATCATGGTTTGAAGCCAACATGGGCAGGAAAGTCTGTGAGACTCTTATCTAGAATTAACTAAAAAACATTGGGAGTGGAGTTATGGCTCAAATGGTAGAGTGCTAGTAGCCTTGAGTATAAAACAACAACAACAACAACAGAAAACCTCAGGGACAGCACCCAGGTCATGAGTTCAAGCCTCAAGACTGGCACGCATGTGCTTGCACACGCATACACACATACACATACACACACATACACAGACACACACGAAAGAAAAGAAAAACAATATGCATATAAATAGAAAACACTAACAATTATTTGACAAATGACACATATCCATAATATTTCATTAATTATTAAAACAATAATAGAAGAGATGAGCATTTAAAAATAAGCAAAGGCAAAAAAAAAAGAAAGAAAAGGAAAATCAATCTGCTTGATTAAAAGAGAAAGGATTTAATGGCACAATTTCCAAAGAAGATACACAAGTGGCCAAAAACACATCAAAGCATGCTTAATATCACTCACTAACCATTGCAAATCAAAACTATAATGAGATGTCACTCACATCCATTTGTAAAAACAAAAAAAATCGTAAAAGTTCTGGGGCTTCTTAGAATATCATTAAAATTTGTGCTAAATGAAAAAAAAATAGTAAGAATTGATGAAAGTGGGGCACTAGTGGCTCTCACCTATAATCCTAGCTACTCAGGAGGCTGAGAGCTGTGAATCATGGTTCAAAGCCAGCCAGGGAAGGAAAGTCTGTGAGACTCATTATCTCCAAGTAACTATCAGAAAATGGGATGTGGTGTTATGGTAGAGCTAGCCTTGAGTTTTTGCCCAGGGATAGTGCTCAGGCCCTGAGTTCCAGCCCTGTGACTGACAACAACAACAACAAGATGGTAAGATAGTAGAGAAAAATCTGTGAGCAGTATTTGTTAGAACACTAAATAGTGCAGAAATCGTGAGAAGTCTTCACATTACCCCTCAAAAACAAAAAGGTTGGGGGAGGAGTTGAAGAACAACAACAAAAATTTACTGCTTTCAGACTGGAGACATGGTTGAAGTGGTAGAGTGCCAGTCAAGCAAGTGCAAGGTTGCCATTTAAGACTCCAAACTGCTTGATGATTAGTATTAAGTGGCAATCATTTAAAGAGTTAGGGAAAATACAGCTTAGGCATCATAAGCTTACATTCTAGGGCTTTGTTTTCTACAAAGTTGATGGGTCACCTGATACACAATCCTTCTGCTTTTTGGAGGTTTTTTTCATATAGAGTCTCATGCTTCGGCTTTGGCTGGCCTCAGACTGTAATCCTCCTACTCTTGACTCCTGAGAAACTGGGATTCTAGGCATACACCACCATGGTTATCTAATTTAGACTCCAAGCTCCTCCCCAAGTTTATTAAATCACACTTTTCATCGTATGAGAAAAAATACACTACACACCCAATAAAGAATGTACACACTCTTTTCTTTTTGGTGCCAGTCCTGAAACTTATGTCTGGACACTGTCCCTGAGCCTTTTGTGCTCAAGGCCAGTGTTCTCCCACTTGAGCCACAGCTCCACTTTTGGTAGTTAATTGGGGATAAGAGTCTCAGGAACTTTCCTGCTTAGGCTGACTTTAAACCAAGATCCTCAGATTCCAGCTTCCTGAGTAACTAGGATTACTTTTAAATTGACAAGATGATTCTAATCCAGCAAAATTACAGATAGGCTTTCTATTACAATATTACAGTATTAATACTCTCAATCCAAACAAATAATCACTGAAAGTAACTGTTACATGATAAATTTTCATGTATATACTAGTATTTAAAAGAATAAAAATGTCCAGTACCTTTATTTCATAAGCGTTCAGCTGCTTGCTTTCTGCTGTACTCTTTTTTTTCAACATCTTATTCTGTTAAAAGTTTAAAATAATCACATTTAGTTCTAAAGTGATTCCTATAGTGTTACTGATACAGAATTAAATTACTAATGGAAATGAAAGCATTATTCTCTAAATCTATAGTGAAAATACAGGTTTTTGAGAATATTTATAAACATACCTCCTGATGAAGTTCTTCAACACACTTTGTTTTAGATTCAACTTGTTTTCTTAAATTGTTATACTGAAAAATTATAAGAAATTACTGAATTTTATTCAATATTTCAGTCAAAATGAGCAACTTCATACTAATATTACATAAAGTAAGACAGGCTCACTTAAAACATCATGCTGTTAAAGAATTCCATTACTGTAAAAATTATGTAAAAAATTATCTTAATAAACATTCTAACACAAATTTGAAATTAAAATTTTGGATTTTTTTTTTTTTTTGGTTCCAGTCATGGGGCCTGAACTCTGGGCCTGGGCGCTGTCCCTCAGCTCTTCAGCTCAAGGCTAGCGCTCTACCACTTGAGCCACAGTGCCACTTCTGGCTTTTTTCTTTTTGCTTATGTGGTGCTGAGGAATCGAACCCAGTGCTTCATGCATGCAAGGCAAGCGCTCTACCACTGAGCCATCTTCCCAGCCCCAAAATTTTGGAAATTTTTACTAGCATTTATTAACTGTACAATGAGGTTTCTCTTCCATAAATGTAAAGAAATCCTCAACATTTACAACTACATGAAGACCATATGAATTCAACCACTTTAAGTATGTCTCTTGATCAAAGAGCCTAATCATATTATCAATTATGCTATTGTGAAAAAGCAGCAGCCAGAGGTAAGAATAACTATTAGTTTTCTTCCTTACTCATTATTCTCCCTTTTTCATGACAGACTACTAGGTTATTAGGAAGAAGAAAATAACATGATATTCTATATATCCTCCAACTTCTCTTATTAAAATACAAACTAAAGCAGGCTCCAGTGACTCGTTTTTTTTTATAATCCCATTTACTCAGGAGGATCATGGTTTGTAGCTAGCTTGGGCAGGAAAATCCATGAGACTCTTTTTTTTTTTTTTGGGTCCAGTCGTGGGCCTGAACTCTGGGCCTGGGCGCTGTCCCTCAGCTCTTCAGCTCAAGGCTAGTGCTCTACCACTTGAGCCACAGCGCCACTTCCGGCTTTTTTCTTTTTGCTTATGTGGTGCTGGGAATCGAACCCAGGGCCTCAGGCATGCAAGGCAAGCGCTCTACCACTGAGCCACCTTCCCAGCCCCTCCATGAGACTCTTATCTCTAATAAACTACAAACAAAAGCCAGAAATGGAGCATTAGCCTTAAGCAAAAATGCTCAGGGACAGCACCCAGATCCTGAGTTCAAGTCAATTGGAGATAAGAGCCTTACATACTTTCCTGCCCAGGCTGACTTTGAACCATGATCCTCACATATCAGCCTCCTGAGTAGATAAGGTTACATGTGTGAGCCACTGGTACCTGGATTAAACAGTTTTCTAATATTTTATTTGTGGGACTATTTCATCTATGTACACATATGCAGAAGTGAATTAAAAGTTACTACTTGAAGAAACATTTGAAATATCATAAAAGCAGATTTCTAACGAGCCTAAAATATCATACATATATAAATTATTGTAATTTCCAACAAAAGAAATTTCATAAAAATAATTAAATCTTCTCCATTAGCAAAAAACACTGCTCAATATTTTTCTTGTAACACTCACATAAGGTCATAATCACCTAAAATTCTAAAACACTGAATTAAACAACACTATTGTTTCTTTTTTTCAAGTATTTTTTTAAAGACAGTGTAAGTCTCACTATGTAGCTAGCTCAAGCTGGCCTGGAACTCAATATGTTCCTACCTCAGCCTCTCCAGTGCTTAGATTACAATGTGTACCTATGTGCTCAGAAATAAGTGACTTACCTATCTCAAGCCAACAAGGTCTCTTTTAGACAATTCAAAAACAAACTAGGGAAGAAATGGCTCTCCCCCTCTCTCTCTCTCTCTCTCTCTCTCTCTCTCTCTCTCTCTCTCTCTATATATATATATATATATATATATATATGGGTATGAAAACATTATATATAATTTTTTTTGGGGGGTCCGGTCGTGGGGCCTGAACTCTGGGCCTGGGCACTGTCCCTCAGCTCTTCAGCTCAAGGCTAGCACTCTACCACTTGAGCCACAGCGCCACTTCCGGCTTTTTTCTTTTTGCTTATGTGGTGTTGAGGAATCGAACCCAGGGCCTCAGGCATGCAAGGCAAGTGCTCTACCACTGAGCCACCTTCCCAGCCCTATTATATATAATTTTATATATATAATATATAATGTTACATATAATATATATAATCATGTTTTCATAGTTATATATAATTATATATATAATGTTTTCATACCTACTTGACTAATACAAACATATTAGAAGGCAAGAGTGTGTTTTTAAATTTTTAAAACAGTATTTTCTTTTTTGTAGAAAAGCCACTCAGATTCAGAATTATCTATCTAATGAAAATATTTTTTTAAAGGCAAGAAAGCAAGGAATCTGTTTCTTTTCAATTACCACTGTAAAGTGAGACTAGTAGGCTTGGGCTAACACTAAAGCTTGAACCTATCCAAGGCAAAACCGGTGACGAATGCAAAAGCAAATGAAGAATTCAATCTTATACAGAACCTTCAAAAGAAACAGTCCTAGCCGGGCACCAGTGGCTCACACCTGTAATCCTAACTATTCAAGGGGCTGAGATCTGAAGATCACGGTTCAAAGCCAAGGTGAGATCTGAAGATCACGGTTCAAAGCCAGTTGGGGCAGGAGACTCTTATCTCTAATAAACCACTCAGAAAACCAGAAATGGCACTGTGGCTCAAGTGGTAGAGCGCTCACCTTGAGCTGAAGGACAGTGCTCAGGCCCAGAGTTCAAGTCCCACAATCGACCAAAAAAAAAAAAAGGAAAAAGAAAAAGTGCTCACAAGGAAAACTTTCGGAGAGGATATAAACTTCAACACAGTCTTAAAGGAATTCCTATATACAAAATTCCAAGGGCTCAGGAAAATACCAAAAATAAGGCTCAAGTGGTAAAAGCTAGAAGAATGGACAGACAATAGAATTAGACCTGAAAAGATATCAGGTATCAGAATTACCAGATACAGAATATAATATAGATATATTTAATATATTTGAAGAAATTAAAGACTTGTAACTAAGGGAACCATAAAAGACAAGTAAACAGATTTGAAAAGGAGCTATTTGGAATTTCTACCAATACAAAATTTAAGTAAAATTTAAAAGTTAATGCACAGAAAAATCAATTATTTATTCACCTTATCAAATAAATATTGCACAAATTTAAAGAATATCACTTTGACTCTGGTGCTGATGATTCACACCCAATAATCCTGGCTGCTCAGGAGGCTGAGATCCTGGAGGATCATGGTTCAATGCCACCTTGGGTGGAAAAGTTCTTGAGACTTCATCTCCAATTAACCATACAAAACAAAAGCCAGGTTGGAGGAGACATGGCTCAAGTGATAAAGCACCAGTCATGAGCAAGCAAGTCAAACAAATGCTCACTAATTTAAGTTCCAGGGACAAAAAACAAAACTCTGATATATCATCCAAGTATTACTTCGCCAGAGCGAGCACAATGTTGCCTGTATTTCTTAGTCCTCTATTCTTCAGAGCATCAAAATTTATTTCCCTTAAGAGTTAAAGTTGAGGGCTGGGTATGTGGCTTAGTGGTAGAGTGCTTGCCTAGCATGCATGAAGTCCTGGGTTTGATTCTTCAGTACCACATAAACAGAAAAGGCCAGAAGTAATATTGTGGCTCAAATGGTAGAGTGCTAGCCTTGAGCAAAAAGAAGCTCAGGGACAGCATCCAGGCCTTGAGTTCATCAAGCCCGGGACTAGGAAAAAAAAGAAGAAAGAGTTGAAGTTGATAACTACTTAAATTTTTTTTTTATTGTCAAGGTGATGTACAGAGGGGTTACAATTACATAAGTAAGATAGTGATTGCATTTCTTGTCAAACTTTTTACTCCTTCCAATAACTATTTTTCTACTGCCAAGTTTGCCCTTAAAAAAATACTTAATTGGCCAGGTGCCAGTGGCTCATGCCTGTAATCCAGGCTACTCAGGAGGCTGAGATCTGATGATCGTGGTTCAAAGACAGTCCGGGCAAGAAAGTCCATGAAACTCTTATCTCCAATAAACCACCAGAAAACTGGAAGTGGCGCTGTAGCTCAAGTGGTAGAACATTAGCCTTGAGCTGAAGAGCTGAGGGACAGCGCTCAGGCCCAGATTCAAGCCCCACCACCGACAAAAAAAAAAAAAAAAAAAAATATATATATATATATATATAATATATATTTAATTGTCCAGAAAATGTACTCTTTGTATGTATGTAACTGTAACTCCTTTGTATATAATCTTTATAATAACAATAAAAATCTTTATAACTATCATTATTAGAGTCCCCCAAGATGTACGCATCTTTACTAAAATGATATGACTGCCACTTTCCTATCATATTTTCTGTGGAAGGTAATAAAAATTATAAAGTGTTGGGCACTAGTGGCTCATGCCTGTTATCGTAACTACTCAAGAGGCTGACATCTGAAGACTGCCATTCAAAGCTAGCCCAGGCAGAACAGTTCCCATGAGACTCTTATGTCCAATTAACCACTCAAAATCTGGTAATGGAGCTGTGGCTCAAAGTGCTAGAGCACTAGCCTTGAGCAAAAGAGCTCAGGGACAGCACTCAGGCCCTGAGTTCAAGCCCCATGACCAACAAAAAAAAATTTGTATCCTTTTTAAATTTAAATTATTTTCAAAACTAGAGCTCATTTTTGTTATTAAGAGTTCATTTCAGCTGAGCATTGGTAGTTCATGGCTATAATCCTAGCTATTCAGGGGATCTGAGGATTGCAGTTCAAAGCCAGCCTGAGCAGGTTAGTTCGTAAGACTCCTATCTCCAATTAACTACCAAAATACTAGAAATAGATGTGTGGCTCAAGTAGTAGGGTGCTAGTCTTGAGCAAAAAAGCTCAGGGATAGCATCCAGGTGCTGAGTTCAAACCTACAACTAGCAAAAAAAAAAAAAAAAGTTCATTCCACAAGTAGAAATATAGCTCAAGTGATAGAGTACTGCCTTTTGAGAGAAAACTAAAGGATAGACCCCAGGTTGAGAATTCACACCCAGTACTGACACACACATACACACATGCAAAAATTAAAAGGCATTTAAAATGTATTTGACAGAATGCCCAGAAATTCTCAAAAGTTAAACAATTTCTATATATGTATTTTATTTACCAGAACCTTCTGATTAAAGAAAATGCTATTTATTATTTGAAATCAGAACTTCAGAAATTAAACTGTATTTTCCAGAAGACATTATATGGAAAGTCAAATTTAAGGCAAGTTTGTAGTGAGATTAGAGAAAGAAGAAGTAAATTAAGATGGCAGCCAGGCAAGTGAAAACTCTTGAAGACAGCATACACTGTTCTGCAACAATCTCGATTATAAAAATGGAAGCAATATCTAGGAATTATTTATATAGGGACATCGCCATTTTAAGGATATCCACAAATGAAAGTAGCTGCTTAGATTATGAAATTTTGAGGAAGGGAAGAAAAAGCTAAGAGTTTGTTGAGATCATTCAAACAATGAATGTGCAGTATTTTCAAAGAAATCTAAAATAAAAGTACTGTATTATCTCAAAAACTCCAAAAAGAGAATTTAGATTTCTTTGTACAATCTAGACTCTATAGACAATATAGAACCTATATTGTCTATAGAGTCTAGATTGTCTAGAGACTCTATACTGTCTATAGAGTCTAGACCCTCAGAATTCAGTTACACATACATTGTTACAAAAGTCCCCTACTCCCAAAGTAATTTTTTAAAACTTGAAAATACCTTGTTTTCTAATATCTTCATTTGTTTATCTCTTTTTAGAACTTCACATTCAATGTTTCGAGCCTAAAAGATAGTATTTGACATCAGATGTAAAATGTTAACCTTTATATTTTCTTCTTTTAGAAATTAAGTTATTCAAGTATTATATTTTCATAAAAACATTTCTCAGCTCTCCCAGCTTATTTTAATGTCCTTTAAAAAATCATATTGTATGTGCAATGATACTTTAACTAGCTTGTTTTAATTATATTACAATATATACACACTTCAAAATATTACTTTGCCTATATATGGTATATTACTTTGTATATCATTCACATGACATTTATCTGTCCATTTAAAAAGAAATCAGTACAAGTGGCGCTGTAGCTCAAGTGGTAGAGCGCTCGCCTTGAGTTGAAGAGCTGAGGGACAACGCCCAGGCCCAGAGTTCAAGCCCCAGGACCGACAAAAAAAAAAAAAAAAAAGAAATCAGTACATATATTAAATTTATATGCCAACATTCATCATTCTTACCTTAGCTCAAACTCGTTTTGCATCATTTTATCAGCATCACCAAATTTATCTTAAATTTTAAAAATTTCTTATATATGTTTATGTCTCAAATCTTTTACAAATATTTGTTATTTATAATCCTGTAACAATCCAATGAGATACATAGGATATATATTATCTACTTTAAAGAGGAGGAGATTGATGTTCAAATTTGGTAGATATAAAATACAAAATATCTGAACTAAGGCAATGTAGTGAAAAAAAGAGTAAATGTCAAACAAATCATCTAAAAATATTTATAACTTGAATTCTTTCTAGAAACCTGTTTCAATAGGTAAGGTAAAATTCAACCAGGTAAAGTTGTAATAAGTTAACAATTTCATTTAACTCATTATCATCAATATTTTCTACATTAGCAAAATAAATTGCACTTTTCAATTTTTAATAAGATGATTTGGATTTATACTGAACATCAAATTCAGGTTTTTCCCTATTAAAACACCAGGCTTAGTGCTTTGATGTAGCTTCTGATACAAATTTTTAACCATTTAATTACATACCATGTATTTTGTATATTAAGTTCATTTTTCCAAGTTGATTTTAACTAATAAATGAAAAGCTGAAAGAAAACAAAACCAGCTTTTCTGATGGAAAGATGGTATAAAGACTAAAATCCAGCTCTTTTGCTTGTAGTCATGTAGCCATCCTTTGGAGGTTTCTTTCATTTTTTTGTACTGGTCCTCTGTCCCTGAGCTTTTGTTCAAGGCTAGCACTCCTACCACTTAAGCCACACCTCTATTCCCTGCTTTTTTGGTGGTTAATTGAAGACAAGAGTCTCGTGGGACCTTCCTGCCCAGGCTGGCTTCAAAGTATAATACTCCCATCTCAGGCTCCTGCTTAGCCAAGATTACAGGTGTGAATCACTGGTGACAACATGGAGGTTCATTTCTTAATTTGAAAAATTAGGACAACAACAAATTCCAATTAAGTAAAATAACACAACAAAAAAAAATAAAAAATGTGTTTGGCCCATTTGTTGTAAGCCTCAAAAAATTATTTCATTATTTTTTAGTAGTTTTGTAGCTTTCTACAGTATAAATATAACAATCCTCAAAAACAATCTCTTCAATATGAGCTTCATACTCCTAAACTCAACTTATATGGATTTAAACAACACTCCTCTAGAGTAAATTCCACGTATCTCTCCAGTCTTACCTCTATCCATCACCATCTTTTCTCTCTCTCTCCACTACTAACATTACCTTTAGCTACTCCTATATATTCAGCCACAATAAATATACTATGATCTCTAATTTGGAGCTGTCCATATAATGTGCTTTAAAAAAAAACAAACAAACTAGAAAGCTGGGTGCCAGTGGCTCACGCCTATATTCCTAGCTACTCAGGAGGCTGAGATCTGAGGATCGCGGTTCAAAGCCAGACTGGGCAGGGAAAACCGTGAGACTCTCATCTCCAATAAACCACTAGAAAACCAGAAGTGGTGCTGTGGCTCAAGCAGTAGAGTGCTCACCTTGACTGAAGAACACAAGGACAGCACCCAAGCCCAGGGTTCAAGCCCCATGACTGACCAAAAAACAAAACAAAACAAACCAGGAGTATTCTTCCTCTTACACTGTTGTCCATCTCTCTACTTTGCACTAATTCCTATAAATCTAAATGAACTGAGTGCCATTTCTAGTAAGCTTTCCTTGACTTAAATTTAAATTAAATGTTCTATGGGCTCCAACAGCATCTATACAAAATACCAGTGTTTTGGTCTGTCCAGCACCCTTCTTTGCAAGGGTTCCTTTACTGTAAAGCCACAATAATTCTGTTGATTCATTTAGTGTGACAGGGGCTAACTGACTCCAGGAGTGAGTTTACAGTTCAAACTTGTCAGATTACTATATCCCCTTATCCACATATAGTAGCTCAATAATAAGAAAACTGGGCCAGAGTCTTCTCCAAGATTTTTTCCAAAAATTTCAAGATTATTTTGAATAATATTCCGAATTATTCCAGCATCTTTCTTCTCTTACTTCATTTTCAAATATTAAAAGATACTATCTCCCCAATAAAAATTTACCTCATCACTACTGCCTACTGAAGCAAATAAAATCTGAAATGAGTACCAAAAACAATGCCTGGAACATAGTGGGAACTAAAAAATAATTGTTGAATGAATGAACACAAAGCCTTCAAAATCTAGCTTTGTATTTTGTCATGATTTTCTCCAACTCTGTATGCTATGTTCTATAGTGTATAGTCACATCACATACTTTGCACTATCCCAGTTTCATGACATTCGTCCTTAAAATCTTGCTATCTGAACTTGGGGAAAAATTCCCTGAAGTTCAATACAAACTTTTCAGAATATGTGCTGTATTACCACAGCAAAAGCCTTTTACTTAACCCAGAAATATAAATTGGCATTAAATAGAACATTTAAAATAAACCTAGAATTATACAATTATTACTTGCAGATACAGATCATATGAATCCAATTTTGTCTATTGCTTTCAGTAATAATGGCCTATGATAGTACCTAGGATCACGAGCTAAACAATGTCACTTATTTTTAGATATTTGATATTACAATCTATTGTTAAATGTAACATACATTTTCTTCACTCTTGTCCAATTTACACTTAACTTCATCTCCTTTCTGTTTTAGCTCTTCTTTCACAGATTTCAGTTCATTCCTGTTAAAATACAAATGAGAATCATTATAATCCAAATTATATCTTCATTTTCTTTTTTTCTGAGGTTTTTAAGGACTATTATTTTTGTTGGCTTTGGTTTTCATAGTTTGGTAATTTTTCATGAATTGTATAATTGAAAATTTTCCACTCACAATAGTAAAATAATTCAGGGCTGGGAAGGTGGCTCAGTGGTAGAAGGCTTGCCTCGCATGCATGAGGCCCTGGGTTTGATTCCTCAGCACCACGTAAGCAGAAAAAGCCACAAGTGGTGCTGTGGCTCAAGTGGTAGAGCACTAGCCTTGAGCTGAAGAGCTGAGGGACAGTGCCCAAGCCCAAAGTTCAGGCCCCATGACCGACCCAAAGAAAAAAAAAAAAAGAATTCTAAAGCCTATCCAAAATATAAAAGTTACAAATCCTTAGAACAATTCACTGTTTGTTTTAAATTATCAGTAGATATTGAATATAACAAATCAATAACAAATATTAACATAAGTAAATGTAACTAAGTTATATTAAACATAATGCTAATTTATTATAAATATAAATGACGTTTAGTATTAATTTAAATACTAAGTGTCATAAAGTTAAACATCATTTGTCCAGATATTTAAATACATTTGAGTAAGTTTGAAAGGAAGGGATGCTAGGGGAAAAACAAAGGAGGGGTAACAATGCTCGATAGGAAATGTACTCATTATCTTACTCATGTAACTGTGACCCCTCTGTACAGTATCTTTACAATAAAATAATAAAAAATATTATTTAGTAAAATTTGATTGTTTATAGGGTTTGAACTCAGGGCCTGAGCGCTGTCCCTGAGCTATGTTCAAGGCTAGAATTTTACCACTTTAAGCCACAGTGCCACTCCTAGTTTTCTGGTTGTTCTTTGGAGATAAGAGTCTCGCGAACTTTGCTGCCAAAGTTGGCTTCAAATCACCATCCTCAGATCTCAGCCTCCTCAGTAGCTATGGATTACAGTCATGAGCCACCAGTACCCAGTTTAGTAAATAATATTACTGGAAGAGTCATATATAAAATTGCTTATCAGTGATTATAAGCAAAGGCCAAATAGTGAGCATTAATATTCAAATATTATAATAGTTGATGTAATTAGAAATAACTAAGATTTTTTTCTAAATTTTCTAGATATGGTTATATACCTTAAATAATAAAGAATCAGAAAGTTTGTAATGCTTTAAAATTAATTTTCATCTAATTGCACTAGGTATTTCAATATAAAGTATGAAACAGACATTATTATAATTTACCTGTCAGAATTTCATACAGTAATTTAAGTCTAATTTTATTTTATACAATATTCAACATATTTAATCTAAATTAACCTTATAGTAACTTATCAGAAAAGATAATAAAAATCTTTTAAAGACCAAAAAGGCCAATTCATGATTAATCTTGCCTTAATTGTGTTTCTTTTTCTTGTAGATTTTCTATTTGTTTCAACATTTCTTCTTCTTGCTTTTTGGTATTCTAAAGAGATAATCATCATTGTTTAAACTGTTTTGTTTCAACAAAAAGAAATATTTAATACTTTTATCTATTATCATAAAATGTATTTAGTTATATATATTGCAAGAAAATAGTTTATTTTGGATAATTCCACCCTATCCTGCAGTCTTTTTTTGTACGGGTCCTGGAGTTTGAAATCAGGGCCTGAACACTCCCTGAGCTTCTGCTCAAGGCTAGCGCTTTAGCACTTGAGTCAGAACTCCATTTCTGGAGGGTTTTTTGACTGCTTTATTAGAGATCAGAGTCCCATGGGTTTTCCTATCCACACTGGCTTAAAAACACAATCCTCAGGTCTCCTGAGTAGCTAGAATTATAGGTGTGAGCTACAAGTATCCAGCTATGTTATTATTTCCCTAAAAATCTCTGTATAGCACCTAGCAAAACCTGTTTTATTTCACAAAGCTACTTTGAGCCTTGTATTCTTTGTTTATATTATTTGGGCCTCAAGGAACATTTCACTTTTATTGTTACTTAACTAAACTCATAATTCATCTTTTAAAGCCAAAGTCAATGTCATTGTTCTCTGATGTATTCCTTTCCACCAAGGCAGACATAATCTCAAAACCTCTAATATTACTTTTTCTACTGACAACACACATGCAAAAAGCTGAAAGTGGAATTGTGATTCAAGTGGGAGAGTGCTAGCCTTGAGCACAAATGCTCATGGATAGTGTTCATGCCCAGGAGTTGGATAAAAAAAAAGAAAAAGAAAAAAAAACACAGACAATTTACACCTGAAAGCACAGATATTTTACAACTGAAGGCATCTTCACAGGGCCATATATTCTAAACCTTCCAAATTTTAAAGGTAAGAAAACAAAGTCACTAGTAATATGTCAACTCACATTAATATCTTCTTGCTGTTTCTTGAGCTCTAGGGTCTTGTCACTTGCTTCTTGTGCAATTTGTTTGTTTTCTAATGAAAGCTTGCTGCAGCTTGCAGTTAATTCTGTATTCTTAAGTCTATTTTAAAAAATATATTACATTAAAATACTTATGTATGAAATGATGTGATATTTGAAATATTCTTAGAACAGCTAGAAGTATAAATAAAACAAGACTGGTCATTAGCCAATAATTCCCAAAGCAAGGTGAAAGATTCATTTTGACATATTATTTTATTCCCTTTACTTTGTAACTATTTGAAGTTTTCCATACTGTTTTCAAAATATCAGTGTTTCTTTGCATATTCCCCACATTCCCACGCATCCTGTCATTCCAAAGAACAATACAATTGTTTGCATAGTTTTCAACAAATTCTGAAGAATACATTACTTTCCCCATATATATATATGTATATATTCTAAGAGGTAGACTATAAGAAGTAAACATATATAAATATATATAATATATGATATATAAATATGTAATATATATGTAATATATAAATACATAATATACTTCTCATAAACTATAAAAAGTAAATATATATTATATATATAAATAATATATATTATATATAAATATATATAACATATATATATACTTCTTATAGTCTACCTTAGAATTTTTTTTAAATTTCTGATAATTTGACTAGAATACTATATGAAGCATGAACTACTTTTAATTACTTTCACTGAAATAAAAATGGCTTTAATATTTATACACAACACTAAACCCTGCTCATACAAGGTCTCTAAACAATTTTTTTGTGTGTGCTAGGCCTTGAACTCAAGGCCTGCTCACTCTAAGCTTTAGTGCCTCAAGGCTAGTGCTCTACCACTTTAAGCCACAACTCCACTTCTGGCCTTTCCAGACTGGGCTGGCTTTGAAATGCTATCCTCAGATCTCAGCCTCCTGAGTAGTTAGAATTACAGGTATGAAACACCAGCACCTGGCTCTCAAAATGTGATATACTGGGAGAGACTACTATTGTTATCACTAGCAGCCAAACCAATCATAAATGAAGAAAGAGTAATATGTGGCCCTACAATAAAATTTTAGGAGCTACTATTCTCTCTTCTTACTTGATATTATTTGAAATTCAAGGAAAAATCAAGTTGTTTGCTAAGCAATGAAAACTGAAAAGCAAATATACCATAAGTAACATAAATCAGTTAAAATTATGATTTTTTTCCATGGGAAAGTAAATATACCCAAAAATGAAATACAGTTAATCCGCATTGTCCATGATTTTCATATTAATGGAATCAACTAATTACAGATCAAAAATATTCAGGAAAAAACTACATATGTACTGAATATACAGACTTCTTTTACTTGTAATTGTTTCCCATATAATACAGTAGTACAACTTTTTTTTTTTTTTTTTTGGGTCCGGTTGTGGGGCCTGAACTCTGGGCCTGGGCGCTGTCCCTCAGCTCTTCAGCTCAAGGCTAGAGCTCTACCACTTGAGCCACAGCGCCACTTCCGGCTTTTTTCATTTTGCTTATGTGGTGCTGAGGAATCGAACCCAGGACCTCAGGCATGCAAGGCAAGCGCTCTACCACTGAGCCACCTTCCCAGCCCAGTAGTACAACTTTTATATGGTATATCTACATCATACTAGATACTATAAGTAATCTAGAGATTATTTAAAAGATATGACAGGATATGCATAGGTTGTCAACATATTTTATATCATTTTATATCTGCATCAGCAAATTTAGTATCTTTGGAGGTCCTGAAAACAATCCCAATGAATATGCAGGGATGGATAACTGGTTTTTTGTTTGTTTGTTTTTTTTGTCAGTAGTGGGGCCTGAACTCTGGGCCTAGGCGCTGTCCCTCAGCTCTTCAGCTAAAGGCTTGTGGTCTACCACTTGAGCACCACATCTGGCTTTTTCTGCTTTTGTGGTGTTGAGGAATCGAATCCATGCATGCGAGGAAAGCACTCTACAACTGAGCCACCTTCCCAGTGGATAACTGTATCTTGATCTACATGGTTTAACTTTATTATTATATGTATCCTTTTATGGGAATGATATATACTTCCTCTAGCAATAAAATTATTTTAATCTTTAGGAACAAAATGAAATTTCAATTTCATTTATTCATATAGTGAAAAAATTTACTAATTTATTATTACAAAAAAGCTTAGTAATTGATTAAACTATTTATATAGAGATAGAAAACATACTTCTCTTTTTCAAGCTCAGTTTTCAGATCTTCAGCTTGTTTTAAACAATGCTGCTCACTTGTTGCAAGTGCTGCTAACTGTATTTCCAAATTATGTACCTCTTTCTGCAAAATAAATTATATTTCTATGACAAGTCTTTTTCCAAGCTTTCATTTAAAAAGCATAATCACACTTAGTATGCCAAATCACGTATCTGGCAAAAATTTGCCAGGATGTCATGTATTTAAATATAAGCAGACCTAATGTGATAACCATTTTAATTCCAAAGCATTAACAAATGATATAAAGTAAACTCTGTTTTAATATTCTGAGATTCAACCTGGGAAATGACTTTTATGTATTATGAAATACTTTTTATCCACCTAAGTAGCTAATTTACTAAAATGTTACATTACAAAGGAAAAATATATTAACCAATGAAATCAAATAGAATTGTATAACATTTTTTTTTTTTTGGGGTCTAGTCGTGGGGCCTGAACTCTGGGCCTAGGCGCTGTCCCTCAGCTCCTCAACTCAAGGCTAGCGCTCTACCACTTGAGCCACAGCACCACTTGCAGCTTTTTTTTCTTTTTGCTTATGTGGTGCTGAGGAATCGAACCCAGGGCCTCATGCACGCAAGGCAAGCGCTCTACCACTGAGCCACCTTCCCAACCCCTCAAATAGAATTGAATAACTTAAGATGACCTTATTATAATAAAAAAGCTACAACATAACTGTGTATGGACTAAAATAATAAAGTAGATTAATTTAAAAATAATACAAGTCAGGGGGGACCAAGATGGCGAGGGGGCAGTAGGGAAACGCCACAGCTCTCTCCAACCAAAAAGAGAGTTCAAGTTCCAACGCTTAATCTCCCCAAGAGACCGACAACAACAAAAAGACGAACACTCAGAGAAAAACCAGAGGTGGAAAATAACAAAAAAAGAAAGAGAGGAAAAGAAGAATTTCAGAACAGAGAAGAGCGAAGACCCCTCCCCCAACCTTTACTGGCCCCGCGGCAGTGCGCCAAGCCGCCGGCCAGCCGGCCCGGCGGGGGCTGCCGGAGCCCCAGAGACACAGGGGGCTGCTTGCAGATCACCAGGTACCGGATTGCAGAACAGCGGATCGCCAGGAACAGAGAAACCTACCAGCCGGGAGTCTCCACGAGGATCCCACCCCCACCCCTCACTCTCCACCGGAGCGGAGAGGCTCCATCCCGCCAAAGCCCCGCCCGGCACCAGCAGTGCAACAAAGGGACCTGCTGCCCAATCACGATCGCAACGACCCAGCGGGGGGCCGCCCAACCCAGCCCGCAACCACCCCAACTGAACTCGGATTGCAACAACAACTGACGACCTACACCACACAGAAACAACCAGCTTCAGGGTGAGTACCCCACAGGGGACAGTGTATCCCTCAAGGGAGACCAGAGCTGGAGGGAATCCCCAGACCCTGACCTAGACTCCCTACCCCAACACCCGGACCACAGGACCCACTAAAACTGGGAACTGTTCGAGAGCTCCACCAGCCGGTGGAGCACACTCTGCTGGCCAGGCCAGAGCAAGAGCGCCCCTGGAAGGGAGCTTAAATGCCCAAGCCAGGAACAGCGCCCCTGGGTCAAGACTACCAACAGTAGAAGAAATTTGAACTGTGTCCTCCAGGCTGCATAACCTAGGTGGTATACACATCAGCACAGGCCTAACGAGCACGCTCCAGGCCAGGGCCGGAACCAGGCCTGGGGATCCGGCACCTGAACAACACAATCAACTCCTCCCAACTGAAGTCAAAAGCTGAGCATACGCCTCAACAGAGGGGAGAAAACCAGGAAACAACACTCCCCGGGAAGCACGCCTGTGACAACAAAAGACCTGGAGGCTCAGGACAAGAGAAGCCCAAACCCCACCAAAACTCCACCCATATACCCTAGGCTGGGAATTGGGCAACACAGGCTGCCAGCACCTGATAGTAAGCAGGAGCTCAGGCTGATAAGGGGGCTCAGCAATAGAGTGATAGTCTTGGATGTATGAGGCTCTGGATCTGATTCCTCAGCATCACAAAAGCAAAAGGGGTCAGAAGTGGTGCTGTGGCTCAAATGGTAGGGTGCCAGCCTTGAGCTGAAGAGCTGAGGGACAGCACCCAAACCTAGAGTTCAAGTCTACAACCAGCCCAAAACAAACAAACAAAAACACATCAGGAGCCCATAGCAGACTCCAGTATTTGGGAGAGTGCATCCAGAGCATCTGATCTTCCCAAGAGCACCCGTAGGAGCAAACACAAGCAGTCTAGGCTGCTCAACCCTTCCAAAGGCGGGAATTGCCAGCAATCTACAGCAGAGAGCTGAGAATCCTAAGTAAGTCAGAATAGCAGCTGGAAATAGGCTCCCAACAGAACCCAGATCAGGCACAGACTCTCTCTACCAATACAGAATCAGCAACCAAGCAAAGACAGACACACCAAAACAAAATTGAAGAGCAGTTTCCTGAAACCCCATGCGAAAATCACAGAGAAAAATCACAAGGTTTACCACCACCCAGGACAGCAAGCTCACCTCAAAAGCCAGCAGCCACGCAGGGGAGAGCCCCAGTGGGAGCAAAGCAGGAATGGAAGACAAAAGCTACATCCAAGGGTTGCTGGAGGCAATGACTCAAGAAATAAAGCGAGAAATGGATCAGAAATTGAAAGAGCAGAGTTCAAGGCTAGTGTTCTACCACTTGAGCCACAGCACCACTTTGGGCTTTTTTTTTTCCTATTTATGTGGTGCTGAGGAATCGAACCCAGGGCTTCATGCATACAAGGCAAGCACTCTACCACTGAGCCACCTTCCCAGCCCAACCATTACATTTTTAAAAAGAATTAAGTTTAGAGGGGGGACCAAGATGGCGACGGGGCAGTAGGGAAACGCCACAGCTCTCTCCAACCAAAAAGAGAGTTCAAGTTCCAACGTTTAATCTCCCCAAGAGACCGACAACAACAAAAAGACGAACACTCAGAGAAAAACCAGAGGTGGAAAATAACAAAAAAAGAAAGAGAGGAAAAGAAGAATTTCAGAACAGAGAAGAGCGAAGACCCCTCCCCCAACCTTTACTGGCCGCGCGGCAGTGCGCCAAGCCGCCGGCCAGCCACCCGGCGGGGGCTGCCGGAGCCACAGAGACACAGGGGGCTGCTTGCAGATCACCAGGTACCGGATTGCAGAACAGCGGATCGCCAGGAACAGAGAAACCTAACAGCCGGGAGTCTCCACGAGGATCCCATCCCCACCCATCACTCTCCACCGGAGCGGAGAGGCTCCATCCCGCCAAAGCCGCCCGGCACCAGCAGCGCGACAAAGGGACCTGTCGGCAGACCACCCGCCCAATCGCAATCGCAGCAACCCGGCAGGGGGCCGCCCAACCCAGCCCGCAACCACCCCAACTGAACTCGGATTGCAACAACAACTGACGACCTACAGGGTGAGTACCCAACAGGGGACAGTGAATCCCTCAAGGGAGACCAGAGCTGGAGGGAATCCCCAGACCCTGACCTAGACTCCCTACCCCAACACCCGGACCACAGGACCCACTAAAACTGGGAACTGTTCAAGAGCCCCACCAGCCGGTGGAGCACACTCTGCTGGCCAGGCCAGAGCAAGAGCGCCCCTGGAAGGGAGCTTAAATGCCCAAGCCAGGAACAGCGCCCATGGGTCAAGACTACCAACAGTAGAAGAAATTTGAACTGTGTCCTCCAGGCTGCATAACCTAGGTGGTATACACATTAGCACAGGCCTAACGAGCGCGCTCCAGGCTGGGGCCGGAACCAGGCCTGGGGACCGGCACCTGAACAAAGCAAAAAGGGTCAGAAGTGGGGCTGTGACTCAAATGGTAGGGTGCCAGCCTTGAGCTGAAGAGCTGAGGGACAGCACCCAAACCTAGAGTTCAAGCCCACAACCAACCCAAAACAAACAAACAAAAACACATCAGGAGCCCATAGCAGACTCCAGTATTTGGGAGAGTGCATCCAGAGCATCTGATCTTCCCAAGAGCACCCGCAGGGGCAAACACAAGCAGTCTAGGCTGCTCAACCCTTCCAAAGGCGGGAATTGCTACAGCAGAGAGCTGAGAATCCTAAGTAAGTCAGAATAGCAGCTGGAAATAGGCTCCCAACAGAATCCAGATCAGGCACAGACTCTCTCTACCAATACAGAATCAGCAACCAAGCAAAGACAGACACACCAAAACAAGATTGAAGAGCAGTCTCCTGAACCCCCATGCGAAAATCACGGAGAAAAATCACAAGGTTTACCACTACCCAGGACAGCAAGCTCAACTCAAAAGCCAGCAGCCACCCAGGGGAGAGTCCCAGTGGGAGCAAAGCAGGAATGGAAGACAAAAACTACATCCAAGGGTTGCTGGAGGCAATGACTCAAGAAATAAAGCGAGAAATGGATCAGAAATTGAAAGAGCACAAGGATGAACTATCAAAAGATATACAGGACATCAAACAAAAGTTGGATGCAAAAATAGAAGCTGCACAAACCTCAGTAAGAAGTGAGATAAACGCCAAATTAGAGGTAATGCATACTGATCTCACCTCATTGAGAGGTGAGATCAGTACTCTGAGAACCAACATTGAATCCATAAAGGGATCCATTTCCACCATGCAAACCACAATAGAAGCCACGGTCAACAGAGTGAATGAAATGGAAGGTAGAGTGTCAGATACAGAAGACAGAATACACCAACTGGACCAAAAAGTGACAGATATGGAAAAATCACTCAAATTAAACCAAAGGGAAATTCACGAGCAAGCAGAAAATGCTAAAAAATTCAACCTTCGCATAATCGGAGTGGACGAAGGTGAGGAATTCCAGAGCAAGGGAATGCAACACCTATTTAACAAGATAGTCAATGAAAATTTTCCCCACCTCAAAAACGACCATCTTAACTACATCACAAAAGCTTATCAAACACCCAACAAGCAAGATCCCAGGAGAAACACTTCTAGGCACATTATAGTAACAATGATGGATCTGAATAATAAGGAAACAATCCTGCATGCAGCAAAAATGAAGAAGGAGCTATACTACAACGGGAAAAAAATTAGAATCACTGCAGACCTCTCCACACAAACAATGAATGCAAGAAAAGCC